ACCTTGGTGAGTAGCATCTGGGGTCTTAAAAGCCTGTGAGCAGTCATCTAAGATACTCTACTGGTCTCACCCCTTCGGGAGCAAGGGAGAATGAAGAAAACAGGATACAAGGAAAAGGTTAGTCTAAAGGACTAATGGACCACAGCTACCAAGGCCTCCATCAGACTGAGTCCAGTACAGCTAGATGGTGGCTGGCTCCTACCACTGACTGCCCTGATGGGGATCACAACAGAGGGTTCTGGACAGAGCTGGAGAAAGATGTAGAACAAAATTCTAACTTACAAAAAAAAAGACCAGATTTACTGGCCTGAAAGAGACTGGAGAAACCCCGAGAGTATGACCCCCAGACACCCTTTTAGCTCAGTGGTGAAGTCACTCCTGAGGTTCACTGTTCAGCCGGGGATTGGACAGCCCCATAAAGCAAAATGGGACTAATGAGGCACAGCAGTCCAGGGACAAGGACTAGAAGGCAGAAGGGGACAGGAAAGCTGGTGATACGGAACCCAAGGTTTAGTAAGGACAGTGTGGACGTGTAGTGGGGTTGTTAACCATTGTTATAGGGCAACATGTGTACTAACTGTTTAATGAGAAACTGTTTTGTTCTGTAAACCTTCATCTAAAGTGAGAATAGCAGCACAACTGGAAGAAAGTAATCGATGTTACTGAATTGTGCATGTAGAAATTTTTGACGTGGTATGTCTTTGGCTATGTATATTTTCACCAGAAAAAAAAAGGTCGAGAAGGGAGAGGGTTGACATGTCGTGGGGTTGTTAACCAGTGTCATAAAAGAATATGTGTACTGACTGTTTAATGAGAACCTATTTGTTCTGTAAACCTTCACCTAAAGTACAATTAAAAAAAAAAGTAAAAAAAAAAAGTTTTATGTGTGGATTTTATGTTATTGGCATCTTGAATTGAGATTGATTTCTAGAAGCTTAAACATTCAGTTTAAAGTACTAACAGACAAAACTTTTACAATAATATTACCTCTAATAAAATTAAGTAAAATATTATATGAACTCTTTAAAAGAAAATTTTACCCCATAGATGTAATAGGAAAAGGAACTCAGTTCATAAGAAGGTGATTGGATCTTCCTTTAGGAATGCATAAGTAAGAATACAAAGATGTCTATTTTGTATAAACTGTGTCTTGAAATAAAGTTTTGTAAGTAACCCAGACCAAGGGACTGTTAATTTTAAATGCCAGTTAACCTTTAATCAAGATTTAATATTTTTGAGTTTAAATTAATGAGACACTATAATAATAACACAGCAGTTTTTACACAGGGTGAAATCATCTGTATTCTTTGACAGCAAAAAATATTTTTTAAAGATTTATAGTACAATTTAAATAAACTAGAAAATGTTTTTGTTTAAGTTTTCATAAGTAGATTAACTGTGTTTACTTGTGCACTTAAACTCTCCCAAGCCCCTCTAAACCTATCTATAAGTCATTTTATCATTATAAAGGTTTAGAAAAATGTTTTCCCAGCAGCATTTGGTTGGGCTAGTTACAATATGTATTTGGTTGGAAGTATTACTTAGTGGAAAATGTTTGGATGTCGGAGGCAGACAGCCAGATTCTACCTCTTAGTGACTTTGTGATTTTAGGCACTGTTTATCCTTCCTGAATCCCCGTTTTTTCATCTATTAAATCAAGATATTGTCTACTTTGTAAGATAAATGTGAGAATTAAATGAAAAAGGCAAATGTCACTATTACATAATAAACACTAAACAAATTATAGCTATTACTACATTTGTAAACTATGTGGTTAAATATTCTGAAATTCAGACTATTTATTCAGGTAAGCTTTGTACATGGTTATTTAAAATAGTAAGATAATACTGCCTGAAGAGCAGCCTTATAATAGAACTGATAAGAAAAAGTACAGAGGAAGAGCAACCAGTTCTATCTGTAGAACTTAGGTAAGAGATGATTTTTAGGGTAGAATGTTAATTTTGCTTTTACAAAGTGGATAAGTAGGGCTAGACACATTTTGGGCAGGATGTGCAAAGGTATGGAGTACCTACCATTTTTAGAGATGTTGTAAATGTGCAAACAGTGTGCCTCTTGAATGAAATATATACTATTTGTGGAAATAGGTTAGCATGTAAAAGTACAATATGTATGGAAATAAAAAAAAAATAATTCAGTATAGAGTTACTTATGTGGAAGAAGTGAGGAGAATAGGATTTGAAAGGGACTCACAGAGGCCTCACCTCTATCTGTATTTTTTTTTTTCCCTTAAAATAAAAAAGGCTTCATGAAGCAAAAATAGCAAATAGTTAAGATTTGTTAAAGCTGGGTCGGGAATACATGGATATTTACCTATGCTTTTCTGTGTAGCTGAAATATGTCATGATGTCTTTTATTTTTAATTGGAGATAAGGAAGAGTAGATAAGTGTAAAGTAGATAAGCTTGGCTTGAAAGGAAGTATGATAGAGGAAAGCACAACATCTAGGGAAGTTTTTTGTTTAAGAAACGCAGATATCCTTTGCTCTCCGAACTCTGGTTATACAAACTCAGCATGGAATACATTTTCAGATAAACCCCTTAAATGTATTTTTTTTTTTTAAACCCTATTGTGATTCTGACTCATAGCGACCCTATAGGACAGAGTAGAACTGCCCCTTAGGGTTTCTAAGGCTGTAAATCTTTACAAGCAGACAGACTGCCACATCTTTCTCCTGCGGAGCAGCTGGTGGGTGCAAATCGCCGACCTTTCGGTTAGCAACCAAGCACTTAACCATTGTACTGCCAGGGCACCTCCCTTTCTATTATTTATCTGAAACTCTGGAACCAAATAGACATCTCTAATATCCACAGTTGCTAACCAAACCTAAGGACCACATAGATTTAGGATGCGAGGGATACATCCACTTGAATTTGTTTATGGTTGTAGCAAAGGCTCAAAAGAGGAGAAGAGACTGAAAGTACTGAAGATAGAGCAAGTTCCTGAAGGGGAGGCATTAAGATCCAGAGTATACGTAGAAGAATTAACCTTGGATAAGAGAAGGTCAATAACTATCCTTACCCTGGAATGACTGTGGTGAGAATAGGTTTAAATATAGAAAAAATTTAGACATGGACATGAAATTGACCAAGTTCCAGCTGTATAGTCTTAATTCATTGTGAAGTATGAGGAAAGGTCAGGGTCAACTAAGCTGAGGCTTAAGCAAGTGTTTGGTGGTTCTCGAATTTTTTTGTTGTTCATATTTTTATATTCTGTATTGGTAGAAGTTACTCTCTTTTGAAATACTTTTTGAAAATGTACTTGTACTATTTCCAAATAGTTTGTACTATTTCTAAAGGTTATAGGATTTACTGAGTATATCTAATATTCTAGAGAGTGGACTGATTCTATAATACTAGCCTTTGAAAATTTATCATCAGCCTCAGGCTACTTCCCTGATCTATCTTTGCCAGACAGAAAAAGTTTGCCAGCATGTAAGAATGTATTTATATTTCAAAGTTTATGTTGATAAATCTTATATATTTTATTTCTTTTTCATGTTGATATCTTACAATGAGGAGGTTATTATAATCATTCATTTAAACCTAATACTCTTGTTTAATACAGAGAAGTCTGCCAATTATTCCTTATAATTAAATATAGGTTACTTTGGAACTTAACTATTCAAATGTAGAGCATTCTTTACTTTTATTCATTATCCTTTTGTTGATTTTAGGGCTGAGCGACAAAGGAATGAAGCACTATATAATGCTGAAGAGCTGAGTAAAGCTTTCCAACAGTATAAAGAAAAAGTGGCTGAAAAACTGGAAAAGGTAAGAGGTAGTTGTGCAAGTTCAGTGTTTTGTATTGCTGTCACAATTCTAGAAATAAAGGTAGATATAAATGGAATACATTTATGGTTAAAGCAGGGAGTGATTTTTGTCAGAGTAATTTGATCAATAATAAAATCATTGAACAATTTGTAAATATGGATGACTGATGTTCACCAATCCTTGTATAATCAGCAAAAACTATTTATCTAAAAAGGGAAAAGTATGCAGTGGAGACAAGTGAAAGGACAAAATACAGAGAAAGATGGGGTAGATGAATGGAGGTTGGAGGTATAGAAATAGAAGCAAGAAATTTATTCCTATCACCTCAATAAAAATGAAGGCAGAGTAGATTATGTAGCCCTCGACTGGCCTTCCTGGATCTGCCATCTTGAGAGGGACTCACCTCTGACTCTCAGAGGGAAAGTTTCATGAACAGATTCTACACAGTAATATAGAGGTAATCAAACTTGTATGGAGGAAGGCTATAAGTTAGATATTCAGATGTTGAACTCAATATCAGGAAATACTCATATGGAAATCTTCCATCTTGAAATAATAATTGAAGCTTCAGAAGTTAATGATTTTGTTCAAAGAAAGAAGAGCAAAAAAAAAAAAAAGAAAAGAAAGAAGAGCAGAAGAAAAAACACTTAAGGAGAAGGGTAAAGTAAGATGATTCAGAGCGTAGATGGCTGAAGAATGTTCATTTATTAAACAATTATCAAGTTTCTGCTACATGCCAGGTACTATGGTAGTTCTTTGGAAAATTCAGTGATACATAACATGTGATACCTATTCTATTCTAAAGAGGTCATAGTCCAGTAAGGTTAACAAGTATGTAAACAAATAATTTTAATATTTTGGAATAAGAAATATAATAAAAATAAGTGGTAGTTATGGTAGGGTGGCATGAAGAGGGATTTACTGAATGAAAGCCTAAAGAAGGCTTCACAGAGTAGGAGATGCTTGAGCTGCTAGTGTATCTTGAAGATTTTGGTGTTTCATTGAATAGTGTTAAGCAGGGAAAATGATCCGTTCTGTGTTTTAGGAAGCTCACTCTTATATCATTGAGAAGATGTAGAGGTAAGAGACAAATACAAGGAGACTCTGAGAGACCAGGCAAGAGATACTGAAGGTGTTGGTGCTCAGGAGATAGATGTGACAGATATTAAGATGGGAGAATCAGTGGAATTTAGAGACCGCTTAAATATATTAGAGACAGTAGGAGAGAGGGAAGAATCTAGGATGTCTTTAGGTTACTGGTTTGAGTGATTGGGGATAATTGCATCATGAATCAAAATAGACAATTTTATAAAAAAAAAAAAAATAAAGAGAGTTCTATTTTGAAAATGTCTGTAGAATATCCAGATGTAGGTTTCTTGTAGGCATTTGTATTTACAGGCCAAGTCTTCAGCACTGAAATCTGGACTAACTAGTTGCTGACAGGTTACTTCCAACTCATGGCAAGACTATGTGAATCAGAGTAGAACTGCTTCATATGGTTTTCAAGGCCGTGACCTTTCAGAAGCAGATCTCCAGGCCTTTCTTTTGAGGTGCCTGTGGGTGGGTTTGAACCACCCACCTTTCAGTTAATAGTCTAGTGCTTAATCATTTGCACCACCCATTGGCTCCTGAAATCTAGATTAGAGCTGCAGATTTAAGAATTGACAATGTTTAAGTTGTAGATGCCTTGAACGTTGATGAAAGAGGTTTATATAGAAGAGAATGAAAATAAACCCTGGGAGATATTAAAGACAGGTGGAATAGCTTTAGGAAAATATTGAGAAGAAGTGACAAAGAAGTTGGAGAATCAGGAAAGTGTAATGATGAAAGCAAAGACGATAGAGCATTTTTAAAATAAGTTGGTCCTCAGTACAGATGTTGCAGAATGGTCAAGAAGGATGAGGATTGAGACAGGGCTGTTGAATTTTATACTTAGAGAGTCACTGGATACTGTGTAGAGAGCAGCTTTATTAAAGTGGTAGGGATAGAAGGCACAACCTCTGAAATGGGGGACATGAGAAAGGAGACAGGAGAAAGGAGGTAGTTAACAGACTATTCTTTATTTAAGATAGGTAAAGAGGAAAGAAGTAGGGGAATGGAGAGGTAGAAAGAAGATAAGTCAAGGAAAAGAGTTTTTAGGACTAGGTTTGAACATAGTAAGTTTGAAGGACAGGAGCCAGTGGAGGAGGTGGCAGGGGGAGAATGAAGATGTTGGAATTATAGGGAATGGAAGATGGCACAAGATTCTGAAGGACATGTGAGGTGGGAGGCCCAAGAGCAGATGTAAGATATTTTTAAATGGAATGAGGACATTTCTTTCCTTTAAGGGAAAAAAGTAGATTAAAATACAGAAAAAAAAAATTTAGGTACAAGGAAGAAGGAAAATTGAAGGATTTTGAATTAAATTAGAAGTTAAGATAGTACTGAAGTGATTTTTATAGCCATGAGGGTTATAGGAGGGATTTTGGAGGCTTGGGGTGAGTCCTTCTCATAACATAGTTGTAATAAGGAACATCAAGAAAATAGTTAAAACTTTTAAAGGGAACATATAAAAAGAGAAGGGCAGAGTAGAAAATGACCAGTTAATAAAAAGAAGAGAGGAAAGTAAGAGTGCCCTGAGCCAAGTATAGTATATCACAATGACTGAAGAATAAAAGAGTTTAAAGGAGTTGTCAACCATGTTAGGTACTAAAGTCAAGATGGAATCTTATGTTTGGCCTTGAAGAGGTCATTCCTTTGCAGTAAAGCTGTAAATACCACTTAGCAGTGTAAAACATTAAGATTCCATTAGATACTGAAATCTAATCAGTTATTCAGATCACTGTTTTGAAAACCTTGGGGAAGGCCCCTGTCGGAATGGAATATCATAGAAGGGATTTCTGAAAAGGTTATCTGTAGGGACAGTAGAATACCTAGTAGTGGTAATAGAAGGATATCCTTGGGGAGAGGGAGGGATTTAGAAGGAAGAGAGGAAAAATGTAAGAAACAGTTGTCCTACACTTTTTCCTAGGATTATCAATTTCAAACTATGCTCAGCAGAGCCCTACAGTTTGGTGAATATAATAAAGGGTAACAAGGGAAGAGGGGCAGAAAGGGCTCTGCCCAGTCATTCACTCCCACCCCTCCAACCTGGGCACCTTGTTTTTATGTGTTTTACATTTTGGGCTGTGATTTCCGTGGAAGTTTTTTGTGGCTAATATTTTCTCAAAATTACTTCTCTAGAGTATTTGCACTGATATTAGCCTATAGTAACGTGGGTGGAGCATTTCCACTTGAGTTACCTACCTTATCCATGTAAGGCCAGAGCACTGTTACTTTCAGGTGACAGTACCATTGCCCCTCTCTGTCATAGCGAGTTAAGGATTTCTAGACAGGTTGTAGCTGACATCCTCTTCCTTGTCCTTACATACTGCCCAGGAACTTCACTTTGCTCCTTTTCACTACAAAGCTGGGGGCTTAAATTTACAAAATTCTTAGTCCACCCTCCAGCTTATTTCTGATGTCACTATTTACATTATTAGTTTTAATTTTAGTTTGAAATACTTATGATTTATGACCAAATTAGTATGTCCACTTAAATATTGTTTTAGGTTCAAGCTGAAGAAGAAATATTAGAGAAAAATCTAATTAACTGTGAAAAAGAAAATAAAAGACTACAGGAAAAATGTGGTATATATAAAAGTGAAGTTGAAATTCTGAAAGAGAAATTAAGGTACAGTATCCAGTTGTGGAAAAGAATTTTTGTGTGGAAATGGGAAAAAAATGAAGGAAAAAAAAACTGAAGCATTTTAAAACTTAATATTTTGTGTATTATACTCTTAAATTCTGCAGAAAGATAAACTTCGCACCTGAAACAATTTTCTAGGTATAAAGTTAAAATTTTAAAGTGCAGTAAAACGTGTTAATGTTCGTATACTTGTAAATATAAAGCAATACTGATCAAACATATTTGTTTTGTGTATAAGTAGAGAAAATTAACATAGACATAATGCCCTTTTAGCGTGACCACATTAGCTAGCTAGTGAAATATGTATATCAGATGCTCAAAAGAATTTCAAATCATGAAGAATCACCTAGTTCAACTTTCTCATTTTGTAAATGAAGGAACTGAGGCCCAGAGAGTAACCATTATTTGTCCACCAAAGACAGATCAAGGATGACAACCTAGGTCTTCTGATTCTTGTACTGTCTCCGCACTGTATGATTTAAAAAAAAAAAAAAAAAAGGGAGGGAGAGCAATCAGAAAAACTGTTTTGTCTAATTTAAACAATATTTCCTAACGGTGGTACATTTAGTATTTTTGCCAAGGTGGCAGGGATAAAAATAGTTTTTATGATAGTTACCTTATGTAATTAGAATATTTCCTAGAATCTGATACTATCAATTGCAAGATATATTTTTAAGAAAGAAAAATTCTGATAAACTATGACAATGCTTTTCACTTAAAAGTGTATTTTATACTTTATGAAAGAATTCTTTCATATTTATTTAGACATGATTTTTAAATCATGTATTACTTTTGTATAAAAAGGAAAATATAAGTGAAATCAGTTGGTTAAGGTATTCCTAAAACTTTACACATGCAGAGCCTGATCTCTCTAATTATTTCTCACAGATATCCAAGTTTTTCTACACAGTATCTTCCTGTGTGCCGATCATGAGTGTTGCTGATGTAGCATTTCTTGAAAGAATGCTTTTAAGAACTCAGAGCACTGATGCTGGGCACTTAAGCTGACTTACAGTTGTGTGGAGTCAGTCTTCTTTTGATTTCTGTTTCAGGCATCTTGCTGCTCACATCTGATTTACCACCTATCCTACTCCTCCCCACAACCACTTGGTTACTGGCGAGTTTGAAATACTTCATTGTTGTCTCCTGGTTTTTCTTCCCGTTTACCTACCCTATTCTGCAAGTTTTGCTGCAGGTGCTTTTGATGTTTACATATGTATAGACAATGAAACTACATGGTAACTGCCGCTTACCTGACAGCTCTTATAAGGCACTATTGATTATCCCATTTTCAGAGATGTAAAAAATGTGGAAAAGTTTTTGAACTAGTTACTATATTGAAATACAGTAACAGTTCTAAGCATAAAATTGTTCTAATGTTTGCTATATTTTTATAGGTATATATTTTTGAAAATATTACCAGTTAGCAGTTGCCATCGAGTCAGTTCTGACTCATGGCAACCCCACGTGTGTCAGAATTAGAATGGGATTTCAGTGGCTAATTTTTCGGAAGTTAGTGGCCAGACCTTTCTCTGAGGAGCATCTGGGTGGACTTGAACCTCCAAATTTTTCAGTTAGCAGCCGAGTGCATTAACCATTTGTACCACCCAGGAATACTCATCTATAGAGAGTAATAATAGCACCAGCCACGTAAAGTTGTGAGCACCTGGCATGCAGAAAATAGACACTCAGAATTAAGCTTTAAAATATTTTAAAAATGAGATTCATTGAATATAGTTATTGAAAATGAATGCGTATTTTGTTTTCATTTTTATGCTTTTTTCTTCGTAGGCAGTTAAAGGAAGAAAATAACATTGGAAAAGAAAAATTAAGAACTATGGCAGTGAAAAGTTCAGAAGTCATGGCACAACTAACTGAATCCAGACAAACTGTTCTGAAGCTAGAGAGTGAGTTAGTAGACCAAGAAGAAATACTTAGAGAAAAGTTTTCTGTAATGAATGAAAACAAAGAATTAAAGCTCCGAATTGCAACACAGAATGAGCGACTGGACTTGTGTCAGCAAGAAATTGAAAGTTCAAGGGTGGAACTGAGAAGTTTGGAAAAAATTATATCCCAGTTGCCAGTAAGTATGTGTGAAAAGAAATGTAATATACTTGATTAGCTGATGGAAAAAGAAATTTTACTAAAGTGTTTTATAAGAAACTATTTTATGACTGTTTTATTAACTTCTGTTTTTTTCCCTTTTTGTACTCTCAGTCATCATTTACTTTTCTACCTAGTCGCTATTATTTTCCCATACTTACCTTTCTACTATTTCACTCTTTCTCCATCTGTCAGATATTGTATATTAGAATGGCACAGATTTTTTTAAAAAAACAGCTTTATTGAGGTATCATTTACATACCATAAAATTCACCCACTTTTAAGTGTACTATTCAATGATTTTGAGTAAGTTTACAGTTTTTTTAACTATCACACAATTCAGTTTTCACACATTTCTGTCGTTCCCAATAAATCCCTTGTGCCCACTTAACACTTAATCCCTGTTCCCACACCAGCCCCAGACAACCTCTAATCTACTTTATTTCCCTATAGATTTGTCTTTTCTGGACATTTTATATAAATGGAATCATACTGTATGTAGCCTGTTGCTTCTGGCTTCTTAATGTTTGTGAGATTCATCCATGTTGTATTGTGTAACTATTTCATTTCTTTTTATTGTTGAATAGTATTCTGTTGTATGGTTATACCACATTTTATTTATCTATTCACCAATTAATGGACATTTGGGTTGTTTCTACTTTTGGGCTATTACACATAATGCTGATATGAATATTTGCATACACATCTTTGTGTGGACATATGTTTTCATTTCTCTTGGGTAGATACCAAGGAGTGGGATTGCTGGGTCATATGGTAAATTTATGTTTAACATTTTGAGAAAATGCCAAATTCTTTTCCAAACTGGCCATGCCATGTTATATTCCCAGCAACAGTGTATGAGGGCTCTCCTTTTTCCATATTCTTATCAACACTTGTTATTGTCTGTCCTTTTGATTATAGCTATCTTAGTGGGTATGAAGTGGTATCACTTTGTGGTTTTAGCTTGCATTTCTCTGATGACTAATGATGTTGATCAACTTTTCATATACTTACTAGAATGACACAGAACTTTAAAATGTTATTGTGATAGCAGTATACTACCATTTCTCTTTGAGCTATTTATGTGGCCATATTTATAAGTGAGATTAGAAAGAAGGTGAGTATACCTGGGTCAGGAGTTTGTTACTGATAGGTGTAAAATAAAGGTGAGATAGGAGAAAGCTATAGATGATTGTGTTATGGTTGGTCTCACACATGAATGGATGGTGAACTGGAAGGTAGACTTTCACCATTTTTAAACTGTTATAAACCATGGATTTGAAGCTGAAAGGAGCTTAGAAATCATCTGTACTATCATTTTATTGGTGTAGAGCCAAGGAAGTAAATAACTTGTCCAACTAGCTAGTAGTAGAATTAAAACTAGAATATAAAATTCTTGGGTCCCAACCCTCTGCTATCTCTACTTTCCTAGAATGGTGATTATTTGCTTAGATTTTTAATATACTATCTATTCATTCCTGAAGTTTGAAGCTAATTATATGCAGATAGCGTTCATTTTAAAGTGACATTCTCCTTTGAGCTTAGTGTCAAGAATTTCTTTTTTTTGTTTATTGTAGTTTAAGTGAAAGTTTACATTTCAAGTTAGTCTTGTATACAAAAATTTATACATATGTTATGTGACCCTGATTGCTCTCCCTATACTGTGACAGCACACTCCTCCTTTCCACCCCTGATTTCCCATGTCCATTCAACCAGCTCCTAACCCTCTCTGCCTTCTCATCTCACCTCTGGGCAGACAGAAGCTGCCATTTAGTCTCATGTATCTACTTGAGCTAAGAAGCACACTTTCATGAGTATCATTTTATGTCCCACAGTCCAGTCCAATCTTTGTCTGAAGAGTTGGCCTCAGAAATTGTTTTAGTTCTGGGCTGACAGAGAGTCCAGGGGACATGCTTTCTGGAGTGTCAAGAATTTCTTGATGTATGATTCTGATGGTAGGGTGATAATGTCTCTGTTCTCTCCAGATTGTATGAAAAAATTTAATTACTAATTTTTTTTTTTCAAATTGTTATGTGTGATCCTGTTTTTTGCAGTGCTAACAATTACATGGTTTGGAATTGTGAATTTTTTTTTATTTCTAGAAAGTGTGATTTGGTTAGAGTTTGAAGGTAGTAATCGTTAAGTGCTTACTTTACTCCTTTTCCCAATTATTTAAAAAAATTCTGTATGATTCAAATATCCAGAAAAGTACAGAGACTAATAACATAGCACAATATTTGCTAAATCTGGGTAACATTTTGCCATATCCAGTTTAGGTTTTTTTTTTAATTGAAAATTTAAAGGTAAGAAAAGCCCTTTTGTGTAACTGTCAAGAAGCCATGGTGGCACAGTGGTTAAGTGCTTCGGCTGCTAACCAGTAGGTTGGTGGTTGAAACCTACAAGCTGCTTCACGAAAGAAAGATGTGGCAGTCTGCTCCTGTAAAGATTACATCCTTTATAGCTTAACTAGTAAAAAAGGTCAGCCTTGAGCATTATGCTCTTTTAAGAACTATCTATATGGGATTATATTGAGAACAGCAACTTGAAAGATTAGATAAAAACCTTAGGGGGCAGTGAGTTTATGTTAATGAGGGAGAAACATCTCAGAAAAGGAGGCTTAGAATGGTTGCACACCTCAAACAATGTAATCAGTGTCACTAAATTGTACATGTAGAAACTGTTAGTGTATGTTTTGCTGTGTATATTCTCAACAACAACAACAAAAAAAACCATGGTCTCAGGGATCATCTAGGTCAATTGACATAACAGTTCATAAAGAAAATGTTCTACATCCAGCTTTAGTGAGTAGCGTGTGAGGTCTTAAAGGCTTGCGAGTGACCATCCAAGATACATCTACGGGTCCCATCCCATCCAGAGCAAAGGAGAATGAAGAAAACCAAAAACACAAGAAAAATATTAGTCCAGAGGGCTAATGGACCACAGGAACCACAGCCTCCACTAGCCTGAGCCCAGAAGAATTAGATAGTACCTGGCTACCACCACCAACCTCTCTGACAGGGATCACAATAGAGGGTCCTGGACAAAGCGGAAAAAAAAATGTAGAACAAAATTCAAATTTTTGAAAAAAGACTAGACTTACTGGTCTGACTGAGACTGGAAGAACCCCAGAGACTATGGCTCCTGACATACTTTTAACTCAGAACTGAAGCCACCCTGAAGTTCAGCCTTCAGCCAAAGATTAGACAGGTTTATAAAACAAAAAATAACACACGTGAGGAATGTGCTTCTTAGTTCAGTCATGTATACGAGACCAAAAGGGCAACACCTGCCCAAAAGCAATGACTAGAAGGCAGGAAGGGACAGGAAAAATGGACAGATGGAAATGAGGAATTGGGGTGTGGAAGGAGAGAGTGTTGACATCATGGGGATTGCAACCAATGTCACAAAACAATTTGTGTATAAATTGTTGAATGAGAAACTAATTTGTTCTGTAAAGTTTCACCTAACGCACACACGTGCGCACGCATATGCGTACACACACACAAAAGGTTACATTCTTAGAAAACCCTGTCGGGCAGTTCTACTCTGTCTTGTAGGGTCATTATGAGTTAGAATCAACTTGAAGGCAATGGGTTGGTATTTTTTTTTGTTGTTTATGTTTAACTGTCAGATCCAGTTCTCTCCTGTTCTCTTCAGAGGTAGCCACTCTTCTGAAATTTGTGTATATCATTCCCATCCGTATTTTGAATATTGCCACATATAGATGTATTCAGAAATACACAGACACACACACACAAACATATATAATTGTTCAGTGTATTTTTAAAATTATGTTATGTGTATCTTTGTTTTTCAGTCATGTGTTTTGATATTTATCTATTTTGATTTATATAGTTCAGGTTTATTTCAACTTGTAGTTTTTCTCATTGTATCAATATTTTACAGTGCATTTATTCATTCTATTGGTGAACATTAGTTTGTTTCAGTTAAATTCACACAATTTTTCAGACTTGAAGCTCTGGTTATAAAACAATTGTAAATCACATACACATTATAAATTTATATATGTTTGCTTTTAAATTTGCAGTTAAAAAGAGCAATGTTTGGTTTTAAATCATCTCTTTCTAAACATCAGATGAGTAGTTTGTCAAACAAAGAAGACAGTTACATCAGCTGCTGTGAGGCAAATAAAATGGTGATCTCAGAACTGAGGTACGGTTTTCATATTATGAAATTATGGCAGATAGAATGTTTTTATTACAATTAAATTAAAATCTTTAATTGAGAAATTGAAAAATACGTGGAAAAATACAAAGAGTATGATAACAAATATCTGTGTTCTCACAACTAAGAATTGATTCTTAACATTTTGTCATATTTGTTTCAAATCTGCTTCTTAAAACATAAAACATTACAGGATAAATAAGTATCTTTTCATCTTTACCTCTAACTCTATTCTCCCACTATCGTAAATTGAGTGTATTCAGTTCATTTTATGTATGTTTACGCTCATAAACATACAAATATGAGCATATTATATATTTATATTGTTTGCAGTTTTGTTTTTTCACTCAGCATCATTTTTTTACATTCATCCATTTTGAGATAGGTAGCTAGAGTGATTGATAAATGGATGGATTGGTATGGTTAGTTTAATTTAAATAGCTGTACAGGATTCTGTCCTATAACTGTATCACAATTTATCCACTCCTTTATTGATAGCTGATTTATTTCCAGTTTTTTCCTATTATAAAGTGTTGCAAAGAACATTCATACATGTTACCTTGTACATATGTATAACAGTTTCTCTAGTATGTATTCCTGAAAGTGGATTTTAGTAGGTACTATAAAGTTTCTAAGGAGCTGCGGTGGCACAGTGGTTAAGAGCGTGGCTGCTAACCAAAAGGTCAGCAGTTTGAATCTACCAGCTGCTCCTTGGAAACCGTATGGGGCAGTTCTGCTCTGTCCTGTAGGATCACTATGAGTCGGAATCGACTTGAGGACAATAAGTTTGGGTGTTTTTTGGTTATCAAGTTTCTAAAGTAGCCTAACCAATTTACAGTCCTACCAGTGGTGTGTAAGAGTTTCATATATATCTTGCCTAGTAGTTGACTAATACTCAAGTTTATAATTTTTACCAATTTGAAAGGTGAAAAAATGGTTTGGGATTTTTTATACAATCTAATAATTTTTGGTTTGTTTTATGCCAGGATTAAGCTTGCAATAAAAGAGGCAGAAATTCAAAAACTTCAAGCAAACCTGACTGCTAACCAGTTATCTCAGAGTCTTATTTCTTGTAATGACAGCCAAGAAAGTGGCAAATTAAATAGTTTAGAAACAGAACCTGTGAAACTAGGCAGTAATCAAGTAGGTGAGTATATTACGTTGAATTGTTTTAATAAATTATAATAAGAGTTGTTTATGATTCTTTTGAGAGACCAGTTATACTTGATAATCTGTTTCTTAGTAAATAACTAGTTATGGTCTGATAAGACAGCAAAAGTTAGAAATTCTTGGACTTTGCATCATTTTTCTTAAATGTATTTTATTGAGGTATAATTTACATACAATAAAATACACTCATTTTAAATATATAGCTCAGTGAGTTTTGTCAATGTTTGTTTTGCCATAAGTTTACACCCTGGTTACCATCACCACAATCAAGACACTTAACATTTCCGTCCTCCCCAAAAGGATTCTTTATACTCCTTCCCAGTTAATGCCTACAACACTCCCTGACCCAAGCAACTACTAATATCTTTCTGTCACTAAGATTAGATTTGTGTTTTCTAGAGTTTCATATGAATAGAATCATTCAGGATGTATACTTTTGAGTCTGGCTCCTTTCATTCAACATAATGTTTTTGAGATACATCCATTATACACACATACGTACGTGTGTGTGTGTGTGTGTGTGTGTGTGTGTGTGTGTGTGTGTACATACACATAGACTCCTTTCATTCAACATAATGTTTTTGAGATACATCCATTATACACACATACGTACGTGTGTGTGTGTGTGTGTGTGTGTGTGTGTATGTACATACACATATATTTATGACTTTTTTTTCTATATTCATAAGGGATATTGGTCTGTAGTTCACTTTTCTTTGACTTTTTATCATCAGGGTAATGCTGCTGGCCTTATCATATCAGTTGCAAAATGTCCCCACCTCTTTTATTTTCTGAAAAAGTTTATGTGGGATGTTATTATTTCTTCTTTAATGTTGGTATAGAATCCGTCAGTGACGCCATCTGGACCTAGAATATTTTTTGTGAGATGGCTTTTAATTACAAATTCAATTTCTTTATTTGATATCGGGCAATTCAATTTTTCAGTTTCTTCTTGAATCAGTGTTGGTAATTTGTGTTTTTCAAGAAATTTGTCCATATTATCTAGCTTGTCAAATATCTTGGCATACAGTTGATTTCAATATTTCCTTATTATTGGTAATGTGTGTCCTTCCTTTCTCTTTTTCTTGATAAGTCTCACTAGAGGTCTTGCAGTTTTATAGGTCTTTTCAAGGAACCATCAGTTTTCTCTACTGTTTTTCCATTTTTTATTTTATTTCTTTCTAATCTTATTTATTTTTTTCTATTTACTTTGGGTATAATTTTCTCCTTTTAAATTTTTCTTAAAGTGAATGCTTAGATTGTTGATTTTTAGACCTTCCTTCTTTTTCTAATGTAAGTATTTAAAGGTGCAGACTTCCTTCCAGGTAATGCTTTAAGTTTTAGCCCACGAATTTTTATGTGTTATGTTTTCATTTTCATTCATTTCAGAATATCTTCTAATATTCCTGTGATTGCTTCTTCAACTCATGTGCTACTTAGATATGTGTTGTTTAATTTCCAAATATTTACAAATTTTCCAGATGGCTTTGTGTTATTTTAGTGGTGGTCAGAGAAAATACTCTGAATGATTTCATTTTTTTTTAAATGTTTTGAAACTTGGTTTATTGACCAGCATATAGTCTGTCTTGGTTAGTGTTCCATGTACACTCAAAAAGATTGTGTATTCTGTAGTTATTGAGTGAAGTATCTTTTGAATGTCAGTCTTGTTAAGTTGGTTGATAGTGGTGTTTAAGTCTTCTTTATCCCTAATGATATTCTGTGTACTTGTTCTGTCATTTACTGAGAGAGTAGTATTGAAATCCCAAATATCCTTGTGGGTTTATGTATTTATCTTTCTAATTCTATCAATCTTTGCTTCTTGTATCTTGAGGATGTTAATTATGTACATAGCATTTAAAATTGTTGTGTCTTCTTGTTGAATGGCGCTGCCTTTATTATGTTAGATGTCCCTTTTTATCTTTGGTAATATTCCTTATTCTGAAGTCTCCTTTGTCTGAAATTAGTATAGCTGCTCCAGCTTTCTTTGGATTAGTGTTTGCCTGGTATGTCTTTTTTCCATCCTTTTACATTTAACCTGTGTCTTTATATATGATATGAGTTTCTTATAGAAAGCATTTAATTGGGCCTTGCTTTTATATCCAGAGAATTTCTGCTTTTTAATTAGAGTGCTTAGATTACTTACATTTCATGTAATCTCTTTAGGTTTACATCTGCTGCCTTGGTATCACAGTTTCTCTTCAAATACAGTGTTTAAGCTAGGTAATGTAAGAAACTTACAGCCATATTTTTCTTTTCTTCTCTTCCATCTTTTGCACTATTGCTGTTGGATCAATTTTATACAGAATATAAGCCTCATAATACATTATTATGGTTTTGCTTTGAACAATTAGTTGTCTCATAAAGATTAAAAAATGAAAAAATGTTTTTTGTATTTATGTACATATTTACCATTTCCAGCTCTTTTCATTTCTTGGTGTAGATTTAAGTTTTTATCTAGTATCATTATTTTATGCCTGAAGAACTACCTTTAACGTATCTTGAGCATTAAGTTTGCTAGCAATGAATTCTTTCAGCTTTTTTTGTTTGAGTACTGTTTTTCCCCCTTCATTTTTGAAAGATGTTTTCTTCTTGCTTGTGTGGTATCTGAAGTGAAGTCTGAGGTATTTTTTTACTCTTCGTTTCCTCTATTCGTAATGAGCTTATTTTCTCTGGTGTTAAGATTTTCTTTAATCATAGGTTTTCAGCAGTTTATTTATGTTGTACCTTAGTATTGTTTTCTTCATGTTTATCCTGTTTGGGATTCGTTGAAGTTCATAGGTACGTGGATTATAGTTTTAATCAAGCTGTCTAACATATGTGTACTTGGAGTCCCATAGGGAAGGGGAGAGATTTTCCCACAGGTAACTATGGCTTCCTCTCCAATCTTTTCTCTCTATACTTTTTTTTTTTTATTCTGTATATATGTAATAAAACATTTTACATTTCAACAATCTTTACTTGTACAGTTCAGTGATATTATGTTCATCATGTTGTTCAATCATCACCCTCACCCATTTCTAAATTATACCACCACCCTATGCTTAATTGTTAATAGCTTCTATTGCCACATTTTGAAGTCCATTTTTTTCCTTCCACTAATCTTCTCTCAATCTCATGCAGTAGAAGTTTCAATTCAGATATTGTGTTCTATATATCTCTAAAAGTTCCATTTGCTTCTTTTTTACATATTCCATTTTTCTCCTGATTATGCTCATTTTTATCTTTAAAGCTTTGAGCATATTTATCATATTTATAATAGCTTTTTAGTAAGCTCATCTGCTAATTTCATCATCTCTATTATTTCTAGGTCTGTTTTTACTGACTGTTTTTTTTTTTCCCCCTGGTTAAAGAGTGCTGAAATTTGTTCTGGTGGGCAGTTATTTGTGGATCAGTTTTATCTTTTCAAGACTTAAAAGAAAAAAACTTTGTAAGTGTGGGTCTAGAGTAGCTTTTCCTCTAGGACTTGTTTAGACCCACTATTAAGGAGTAACCTTCTGGGGTCTCTACCAAATTTCTACATGTTAAATGAAGTCTCTCTACTCAGGCTGGTGGGAATTCAGATGATTCCTGGCTTAAGCTGATGAGAGCTCTGGGAATTGTTTGGTTTAGTACCTCTAGGCAATTGTTCTTTTCTTGAAAGATGTTCTTTCCCCAAGCTCTGGATTTTATCCCAAGCACGGACAGATTGGTTTTCAGCCATGGACTTAAGGAGACTCCTATACAGATTTCTGTAGTTCTTTTTCTGTGTAGCTCCCTCCTCTTTAGAACTTGGCCCCACAAATTCTATCAGCTTTGGCTAATCTCTGTCTCCTCAACTCAGTAAAATCTCCAGTCTCTGTTTGGGTTCTTTTTCCGTGTGCTGCAGTATTGAAATTGGTGCTAGGCAGTTAGCTTGGACAAATTAGGGCTCACCCTATTAGCTTCTCTCACCTCAGGGGTCACAGCCCTACACTGCCTGTTGTTCAGTGTCTGAACATAATGGTTTCATTTGTGTTCAGTTTTCTAGTTGTTTACAGTGGGAAGGTAAGTCTCGATTTTATTACTCCTTCATGGCCAGAAGTAGAAGTAAATACATCTGCTTTTAAAACTTATTGTTTAGAGATCCATTTTGTATACAGTAATTGTCCTTTGAAGTAGCATGTGAGCTTCACTAGGCCTGCCTAATGAACTTTTGTTAATTTTGTTCACTGCTATATTTCAATCACCTAGAATAGTGCTTGGTACCTAGTAGGCCTTCAAAATAAGTATTTGTTGAATAAATGAATGTTATAAGGTTAGTAATATGACATCCTCCAAATATGCACTCACATGGTATATACAGTTAGGTCTCCCCATTTATCATCTTTAAATATTTTACTGAGTTATTTGTAGTAAAACATTGATCAACTGGAATCCTTAGATTCTAGAGTGGAACCCAGAGTATTCTGGAATAAGTGAGAACTAGTCCGTATGTTAAAAAAAGCGGCGTATCCATCAGGAAGTTAATGTAGTTGAGGAATACTAATAACCTGAGAATCATTCTCCTACAATCAGTCAGTTTATCACATGGAAGAAAAAGAGCATCTTGATTTGCTGACAATAACTATAAATGGCTACTTTTTTTTTTTTTTAACATGTTTGAAGGGGAACTCTTGGAAGACAGACATGAAAGAAGAAGAGTACAGAGAAAAAGAAGAAGAAAGTAGAAGAGATGAGTGATAGCAGCAGTGATTAGAAAGGGATAGTGGGCTACTAGCAGCAGAAATGACTACGGAGAAAATCAGATACCTAAATGATTAGAGAGAAGAACAGGGAGAATAAGGAAGAGAATGATGAGATTAGTAGAGGGAGTGCTAGTTATTTGAGGTGGTAATAAAGATATGTCAGAGATTCTTTGACATCAAAGAATAATAGAACCAGTGATAAATAGCCTAGGAAGAGAAGTGTTAGGGATATGGAGAATTGATGAGAAATGACTACTTATACAACACTTAAAGACATAGTACATTCTACTTGTTTACACATCTATGTGTGTTCTCATGTAATGACCTACATTATGGCACTTTAAAGCACTCATGTAAGCTCAGTTACCTTTGAGTGTGGGGTATGTGTATTTATAGTGGAGAAAGGGCATAGTCAAACAACTACCACTAATAATCCTCAGTAGTCTTTAAAAGTATGATTGAATTCTCACCTGCTAGTTTCCAGGGGAGGAAGATGAGATTAAGATGGATTCACTGTTTACAGCTTTCTAACATGCATCTAGATGTGTTATTGTTGTTGTTAGATGCCATCGAGTCAGTTCCTTACGTACAGCAGAACGAAACACTGCCCGGTCCCGTGCCATCCTCACAGTGGTTGTCATGCTTGTACATACATCTACATGTGGTACATTAAAATATTTTCCAAATAAAGTTTATTATTAACTTTAGTTTAAGGAGACAGCACCACTTTTTTTCTTTTTTTTTTTTTTTTTTACATTTTACAATGATTTTTATCAGAAAATTGGATTTTAAAGGGTGAGGAAGAACTCTTAAATTTCTAATACAAAGGATCACTTTTCAGCTACTTAGAAAACTGAGTGATGCGGAACATATTTCCACTTGATGTTTTTATTTAAAAGATACCTTATTTACTCTATTTCTTAATTACGTTATCGTTATTGACTGCCTCATTCTCCATCCTCTTTAATACTGTTTAGATCAGAAACTGAACTTTGTTTATGATTAATTCAGTCAACTGTTGAAATAGGTTTTGGTTCTTAATGTTTTATCCAGAATAATTTCCTTTTATGTGTATTAGCAGAAAGTATAAAAGATCAAAACAAGCACTATGAAAGAGAGAAGCAAAGACTTGCTGCTGGAATAGAAGAACTACGTACTAAGCTGATGCAAATAGAAGCTGAGAATTCCGATTTGAAAGTTGACATGGCCCACAGAACTAGTCAGTTTCAGCTGATTCAAGAGGAGTTACTAGAGAAAGCTTCAAATTCTAGCAAACTGGAAAGTGAAGTAAGCTTGGAATTAGCTGTATATATGTACTAAATTTTGAGACAGAGAAAAAAGGTATTACTGCAAAGTTTTGTAAAATTTGTATGTTTAAGTCCAGATTTATAAATTTTTTTAAAAAAACTAAGTGGTACCAGATAAGATATAAATCCCTTAAAAATTATATTTGGAAACCTTTGGATTTTAACCTTGTTAAAGGTAGGAGAATACTGTCTAGTGGCTAAAAGATCTCAAATTTGGTTGAACTGTTACTGCATTGCATTCTTTTATTTCTTCTGCAGCATAAATTAATATGGCTAATATACATTTATAAATACAGAATTTGGATTATGAGTTGGAAGAAAAGGAGTAATAGAGGATTTCAATTATATTAAGATATAGTAGTACTTAAATTTTAGCAAACATCAGAATCGCCTGGGAAAGCTGTTAAGAGTGTCATTTTTAGGTTCCGTTCCAGTGATTCAGTAGATATGAGTATGGTTCAAGAATCATTTTTAAACATTCGCATGTGAATCTGATACAGATAGTTGATGGAGTACATTCTAAAAAGGGCATAATGCATTTTTTGTGACTGATTTTCATTTCCACTCAGGGCAGGATAAGGATGCCTCAGGTAATTGTAGATTAGGACCACACATGTATATGTTATATTCACCTTTTAAACCAGAGGCTGCAGAATCTGTGGAGATGCTTTTTAAATGTCTGATTTCTCATCTTAAAGTCTGTAGCCAAGGCTAAGAAAAAGACCTGTGGGATAGGAACTTACGTAAGAAATGAAAAGGAGATTTAGTCAGTCTATAATTACAGTCACCAGCTTACTTATAAAGTTGTCATATACTGAGATGAATAACTTTTTATAAATTACAAAAATAACACAGTCTTATTGTTGAAAATACAAACAGGGACAAAAAAGAAAATAAATCATTGATAATTCCATCACCAAGATATTACTGCTGGTAACATTTTATTAGACTAATTTCAGTCTTTAATAACTACTTTTTAAAAATGGATTAGAGTACAATTTTATTTGGAGATAGAGGTCTGAATTAAATTATTTGTGTATTACATAAATGGAAGAATCTATGTCATATCTCTGGTCTCCCCCTCACTATTTGTTTTTCTTACAAATTGTTACTTATTTTTAAAAGTCTTATATGAATCAGAAGGTTATATTCACTTTGCGTCCTAAATATTTGTTACCAAAAATTTGCCCAGTTTATCTAGATACAATTTGAACTTTGGAAAGAGGCGCAAGTATTAGATTTTAGGGTAAAAAGTCATTACCTTTAAATGGTAATTTTTTATTTATTTCAATTTGTTTTCAGATGACAAAGAAATGTTCTCAACTTTTAACACTAGAGAAACAGCTGGAAGAAAAAATAGTTGCTTATTCCTCTGTTGCTGCAAAAAATGCAGAACTAGAACAGGAACTTATGGTAAAAATTACCTTTTTCACTGCAAATTTGCTGTGCCTTTTAGTCGCTTAATTTGTGACATGTTTGTTTTAGTATCATTATGAAAACTATACCAAATAGGAAAGTATACATTCTGCTGAATTCTCTGATCGTTCATTTTTTCATTTGTTTCCCTATTTTTAAGTTAATAGGCTTATATGACAAGTTGTTATCCAAGTTTTTTCATTTTTATCCTAATAGAATTGAAGAAAATAGTAGTAGTTCTTTGATGTGCTTCTCAGTATTTTCATTTTAAAAAATGATTTAATCTTCTATTTTTTATAAAATATTTTTAAGTAACCATTTTATCTATTTTATAAATGTTTAGATATTTCTTTAAAAGCTTAAAGTGTTAACTGCTATGATTCTTTAAAGAATAGAATATGACAGATTTAATGTTTGACTAATGTATTTCTATGTAAAAATGCTTCTGATTTGTATTCTTTAAAGTGTTTTATGTTTCTAGGAGAAGAATGAAAAGATAAGAAGTCTAGAAACCAATATCAATACAGAGCATGAGAAAATTTGTTTAGCCTTTGAAAAAGCAAAGAAAATCCATCTTGAACAGCATAAAGAAATGGAAAAGCAGATTGAAAGAGTAAGATTTTAATTAATGTAGAAAGTGTAATAATGCATACTTAGAATGTGAATGCTGAAAAGAACCTTAAAAGATACTAGCCCAGCTTTCTTTGTTTTATAGATGAGGAAACCAAGACACAGAAAAGGTAGTGACAAGAGCTGTAATTAGAATCCCATTCCTTCTGGATTATTTTCCAGTGCTTTTTTATATAGTACACCTGCCATTTCAGCTTTAACTGTTATTTTTTGTTATTGTCGAAATAAGATTGAGTCTGTAGACTCTGTTTTACTAGAGATATCAATTGCTTGAAGATTGGTTGAGAGGGAAAAAAAAGAGTAGAAGCACTCTTAACGTTGGGTTAAAAGTAATGGGTAAAAACAAGTAAAAAAAAGAAGATGAGACCAAAAGCATAGGACTAAATAAAAACAGATTATTAGGATGGGCTTAACAGCAGGATGGAACTGATAAGAGGAACGTCAGTGAACTCGAATATAGAACAATAGAAATTATCCAATCTGAGCAATGGAGAGAAAAAAGATTAGGGGAAAAAATGAACAGAGCCTCAGGGACCTAACATTCATGCCATCAGAGTCCCAGAAGGAGAGGATAATGAGACTGGTGCAGTATAACATTTGAAGGAATAATGATTTGGCAAGTTTGGTGAAGGAAAGAAAATTACAAATTTAATAAGATCAAAGCAGATAAACTAAGAGAATTCCACTTTTAGACACAACAAATTCTTTGCTGGACATATGCACACTCATGTTCATTTCAGCATTATTCACAATAGCAAAAAGATGTAAACAACCTTAGTGCCCATCAATAGATCAATGGCTAAACAAACTATGGTACATACACACAGTGGGATGCTACTCAGAGATAAAGAATCTGTGAAACATCTCACAACATGGATGAATCTGGAGGACATTATGCTGAGTGAAATAAGTCAATCACAAAAGGACAAGTACATGTATGAGACTACTATTACAAAATTTTTGCTGAAAACTAGAAACAAAAAATCTTGAAAGTAGCCAGTTAACAACACACTGCATGTAGGAGAACAAAGGTTAGAATTACTATAGATTTCTCATCAAAAACCATAGAGATGAGAAGACAGAAGAGCAACATATTTTTAGTGTTGAAAGAGGAAAAGAGAGAAGATGCAAAACTAAATTTCTCATATATTGCTAGTGGGAATGCAAAATGGTACAGCTACTCTGGAAAACAGTTTGGCATTTTCTTACACAGTTAAATATGCACTTAACATACGATTCAGAAATCCCAGATGTTTATCCTAGACAAATGAAAAAAGTTACACTAAAACCTATACACAAATGTTTATAGTAGCATTATTTGTAATCACCAAAAACTGGAAATAGCCCAGTGTCCTTCAATGGGTGAATGGATAAAATGTGGTACTGCCATGCAATGAACTATATAACAAGGAACAGTCTGTTGAGATAGGCAAAAACATGGGTGGAATAGTCTTAGGGGACATCTAGGTCAATTGGCATAACATAGTTCGTAAAAGACAACATTCTACATCCTGCTTTGGTGAGTAGCATCAGGGGTCTTAAAAGCTTGCGAGCTGCCATCTAAGATACAACTATTTGGTCTCTTTCTGTCTGGACCAAAGGAGGGTGAAGAAAACCAAGGACTCAAGGAAACAATTAGTCCAAAGAACTAATGGACCACAGGAAACACAGTCTCCCAGACTGAGACCAGAAGAACTAGTTGGTGCCCACTTAACCACTACCTACCGCTCTGACCAGGATCACAACAGAACATCCTAGTTAGAGTGGGAAAAAAAAAGTAGAACAAAATTCAAATTCATAAAGACCAAATTCACTGGTCTGAGAGACTAGAGAAACCCCAGCGACTGTAGCCCTTTGATACTCTTCTGAGTTGGAATTGAAGCCATTGCTGGAGGTCACCTTTCAGCCAAATTATAAACAGGCCTATAAATAAATAATAATGCACATGAGGAAAGTACTTCTTAGAAAAATCATCTATATGACACCAAAGGGCAACATCTTCCCAAAAGCAAAGATGGAAAACTGGACAAATGGAAATGGGGAACTCAGGGTGTTAATGAGAAGAGTACTGACATATTGCAGGGATTGCAACCAATGTCACAAACAATTTGTATATAAACTGTTGAATGGGAAACTAATTTGCTCTGTAAACCTTCACCTAAAGCACAATTAAAAAAAAAAAAATTAAAAAACCATGGATGAAATTCTCCAAGACATTTTGCTAAGTGAAAGAAGCTGATTTTAAAATGTTGCATATTGTACAATTCCGTTTCTGTGGCATTCTGAAAAAAAACTAAAGGTAGAGGGATGGCAGGCAGTTCAATGACTGCCAAGGGTTGGGGTAGATGGAGACTTTGACTATTAAGGATCAGCCTGAAGGAGTTGTAGGGATGAAGGAACTCTTCTGTATCCCAGTTGTGATGAGGGTTTCATGAGTCTATGTGTGTGTTAAAATTCAGATATACACCAAAAAAATTAATTTTACTGTATATAAGGTAATTTTTCAAAAAAATCCTACCACTCTAGAATTATTTTTAAAAATCTTGGTTTATATCTTTCCAGAGCAGTTTCTCTGCATCTTTGTATACTTTGCATCTATATATACTGTACATATACGTACACAGATGTAAGGTAAACAAAATATGTAGTAGCTGCATTTAAGAGCAGTTGTCATTTGGGTTACTTGTTTTTCAGAATTATACTTAGTTTTCAGTAAACTTTACTATGAAGTTATTTTTTCCATACTTTAGATTATTACATTATAAAAGATTCTCAAAGATGGAATTACTGGTTCTGAAGATGAAAATACTTATCAAATGAGAAATTTACTCCTGACAAATACTGTAAGGATTAATCTGAGAGTTCCAGAAATTCTAGAAGGATACTATATTTGATATATCAAATATTGAAGTGTTGTAGACAATTGGCAAGATAGATCTGTCAGAGGACTTCCCTGGTGATTGATGAGTCTAAATCTATGACTGTAACATCATTTAATCTTGTTTACTCATGAAATTTTAACGTATTTGTGTTTTTGGAAAAAAATTTTAAAGTTACTTAACATTTCTTTAAATGTTTTTTTCTGTTGGAGTTAATCTCCACATCCTTAAAAAAATTTTTTTTCTTGTTTACTAGAACCCAGAATTTATTTTTTATAATGCTTAGTGGAAAGTTTAACTTCAAAATTCAACTTTTTCCTGCAATATTTTAATTTTCTTAAAAGGCCTCTAATTGTAAAGTGTTATTTGATTGTTTTCATTTAATATATATTTCCTTTTCAGAGTTCCTTGGTTTTAATATTTTCTAGTTAAGCCTGTTGCTGCTATATGCTTATTATGTGATTGTAAAAATGACATGGTGGCATCAGACCTTGTCTAACTTCAGGGGGAGGAGAGAGACTCAAGATCATCAGCCCAAGGCTGATTCCTATGAGGTGGAGGTCGTACATACCTCTCCAACTTTTTACCAATTCTGACAACAGCTGTCCCTCCCATGGCACTTTGTACTTCTCTGCTGGTTTCAATAATTTGTTGCAATGGCCACACAGAACTCACAGACCATATTCACAGTTACAGAGTTTATTAGGGAAGTAACAGGTTCAGGATCAGGAATGCTCAGGATACAGTTCTTCAGTCATGACAGCATCTTCTCAGCCATGCCTGCAAGCAGACCTCTCTCTCACCCTCAGCCTCGTGGTCTCTCCACCTGGCCTCTGCCCCTTGGACAAATGTTACAAAGCCCTTTTGCTATACCTGTAAGTACCTGGAGGCACCTCACTCTGCCAGTAAACCTCATATTGAAGGCGCTCAGCTCCCTCACACCCCTCCATGGATCAAAAAACCTAGCTCCACCACAGTGCCCAGAGGCACCTCACTCTGCCAGCAAGCCACCTGCCCAAAGGCACTTAACTCTCTTGCTGTGTGGGTCAGCACAACCACTGTAGCCACCTTACCTGGTGGTCTAGGAAGTCCACCGTGCTATCTTGCACCAGTCTCCTGGTTCTTCTGCTGCCATTTCTCTGCCACCACTTCTCACCATCTTGCAGCATCTCTGGTGTTACAGCTCTCTCTGTCCCCTGGGTCTAGGAGGTTCTCAGCCCAGGGATCCTGGGTCCAAAGGACGTGCTCTGCTCTTGGGTCTTCTTTCTTGCTGGTAGTGAGGGCCCCTCCTGCTGCTTATGGCATTGGCTTCCTTTAAGCCTAGTGGGATGTCAAAACTGAGCAATCCTCTTGTTAGGGTTCCACATGCATTATTTGCATGGTCCCACCCCTGCAAGAGTTCCGTGCACTTTATTTATATCATTAACAGGCTGTCCAGTTCCCTTTGTGGGTCACAAGCACCTTATTTACATAGTCCCACGCAATCATTTTTTGGGAATCACAAGACCATGCATGGCTAAAAGGGCCATATTAAGGAATTCATTGCACCGCAGTGATGTATGTGTTATTTGTAATATTATTTTGTGCATATATGTTGTGTGTGTATGCACTCATACATACATATGCATATGCTCAGTAATTAAATAATTTGTATCCATAAAAGTTTTTTGCAAGTTTGATAATACCAGACATTGGTGGAAGTTGTAGAAAATGAGAATATTTATACATTGCTAGTAAAAGTATAAATTGATGCACTTTGAAGGGAGATACAGAGTAAAGTTGGAAATGTGCATATCATACAACCTGGAACTCTACTTCTAGATGGCCTACACTAGAGAAAATTTTATACATGTTCATAAAGAGACATGTACAAAGGATGTTATTGCAACATTTGTTGTAATAGTGAAGAAGCAGAAACTGTCTAATTGTTCCCGAGAGTAGAAGAGTAGACAAAATGTTGTTTAGTTAGTCTTCCAGTGGAATACAATGCCGCCATTAAAGTAAATGAACTAGATCCACATAAATCAACATACATAAATCTCTAAAACAATTTTGAGTGAAAAAAGCAAAGTGCCAAGACTTGCAGAATTGTTGATATCATTCATGTAAATATTTAGAACAGAAAATTACATATTGTTCATGGATATAGATATGTATGTAATACAACCACAAAAAACAAAACAAAACAAAAAAAAACAACCATGTATGAGAATGAAACACACCACAGAATGATACAGACCAATTTCAGCTTGGTAGTTAGGTCAGGGAGAAAATGAAGAACTGAGCGTATGATTTCATTTCCTCTCTAAAGGGAAGGAAATTTGTCAAAATGTAAAAAATGTAAATTCAGTGGTAGGTTCACATGTGAGTAAATATTATTTTCTGTATATTTAAGATGTTTCAAAATGTTTAAAAATTAACTTGAAAAGCAATAAATCTTGTTTTTATGTTTAGCTTGAAGCTCAACTTGAGAAAAAAGACCAACAATTTAAAGAACAAGAAAAGACTATGTCCGTGTTACAACAAGACATCATATGTAAACATCATCATCTTGAATCACTAGATAGACTCTTGACGGAAAGCAAAGGGGTAAAATAATCTTTATAAAAATGCTGTTTAAGAGCTGACTCATTTTTAATTTATATTTCTCTACTATACCTTTAATTCTAAATCAAATCATTAATTGCTTAACAGCCCCGTTAAGAATGCTAAAATGTTTATGTATGTACTTACATTTTTTGCTATCTGTCTGCTTTCAGGAAATGGAAAAGGAAAATATGAAGAAAGATGAAGCTTTGAAAGCATTGCAGAACCAAGTATCTGAAGAAACAATCAAGGCTAGTATGCTAATGCTTAAAAAAATATTTTTCTTATTGGAGATACTCCCGTGGTTTTTTGTTGTTGTATTGTTTTTTTACTTTTCTCTATTGTAAAAAATTACTTACATAAAAATCATTTAAGAGCTGAATGTTTGACCTGAGTCAGTAAACACAATTTCTATAAGTATATTTTCTTCAATATGAATTATGACCTTTATTAATCAGTAGTTAATCTAGTTTGTAGACTATCTAGCCTCTTTTGTTTTTTCCCCCCCCTTTAAAAATGATTTTTAACTTTAGCCCTAATGGCTGCTTATCAGTGTTAACACTGAAGAATTAACAGAGGAAGTAAAAGAAGATGAAACTAAAAGTAGTGCAAGTAGTGCAGTTTTACTTCTTTTTACCAGTTCAGCTGTAAGATTAACTGGGGGATAAATCCAGAATTTCTGACTAAAGTATGGTTTTATCACTAGTATATTTTCATGGTTGAAAACATGGGCTTTGGAGCTAAATTGACTTCAATTTGAGATCTGGCTTCAGAGTACTTACTACCTGTAACCTTGGCCAGGTTGTTTATGCTGTCTGAACTTTAATTTCTTCGTCTGTGAATTTGGGAAAACAATACCCTAGAAGAGGGTTAGTGTGAGGATTAAGTGAAATGAGATCATAAAGTGCTTCTCACATACTAAGGTATTCAATTAAGAGCAGGAAGCTATCAATATTATTAGTATTACCATTATTTTAACTATCAATCTTATTGTTTTGGGTGCAGTAGTTGATTTCAATTCATAGCAACCCCATGTGACACCGTAGAACTGCCGCTTACGGTTTTCTTGGCTGTAACCTTTATGGAAATAGATCACCAGGTCTTTCTCCCGAAGAGCCACTGGGTAGGTTCAAAGTGCCAGCCTTTGCAGCTTAACCATTGTTCCATCAGTGCTCTGTGTATTTTAGCTACTAATTTTAATTATCCATGGCACCTCTGTTACCAAAATTTACTAAGTATTCAGTATTTTCTCCTTTGCATGTTTAGTGTTTAAAATGGATCCAGACATGCTGCTACCTTTATTCTGCCACATTTGGCTTGAATACAAAGGATTTTTTTTTAAAAAACTCTGATGTTATTTACTTTTTTGCCTAGTATTCTGTTTTTAGTCAATGTTGTGACCATGTATATCCATGTATGTTTATTCATAATTTTTCCTATAGTATTTTCCAAAACTCTTAGCATTTAATGCCATGTTGATTCATTTCCTCATACAAAAATAACCTTTAAGATGATTTTTTTAAAAAATCATTACTGTACAAAGGTTTTAGACATAAAATAATTTCGTTAAATAAAACTCGTATAGCCACTTAACTTCTCTTTTTGATTAAACTACCTATCATGTCTAGCCAGTCATCTGGAAAATTATTTCCACATATTAATAGCCAGATATGAGACAGTCAGGAAATCAGCAAAAGAATGAATTATGATGTTGGGTATTATTCCGTGTGTACCTTTAATATATTCGTTGTTATTGAGAAAAAAATCAAAATGAGAAAGAAGTGTAGAAGTGAAGTTGCTGTGACTCCAGCTGTACTAAATTACTATAATATATAGGCTCTGAAGCAACAAAATAGGAAGTCTGAAGTCTAGTTCTCTGTTCTGACTATGTCACTGATACCCTTCTTATGTGACTTTTGACCATGTCCTCTGCATGCCTCATTTCGTTTCTGCAACAGAAATATAAATTTTCTATGTGCAGGAGAATTATAAGGGTAAGTTTAAAGTTGTATCCCTTATCAAAGTATGACTCATGAGAGCTATGAGTCCCGGGTGGTACAAGCAATTAATGCGCTTGCCTGCTAACTGAAAAGCTGGAGGTTCAAGCCCACCCAGAGGCACCTTGGAAGAAAGACCTGGTGATCCTACTTCCAAAAACTCAGCCATTAAAAAGCCTATCGAGCACAGTTCTACTCTGACATACCATGAGATGCTCCATGAGTTGGAGTTGTCTTGATGGCAACTGTTTTTAATGAGAACTAAAAGGTTGTTGGAAAAATTATGTGCGGATAACAAGAAACCAGTAAACTAAACAAATTATGTTACCTTCTGTTAAATAATAAGGAGCCCAGTGACATAGTGGTTAAAGCACTCGACTGCTAACCAAAAGGTCAGTGTTTGAAATCCACCAGCCGCTCCGCAGAAGAAAGATGTAGCAGTCTGCTTCCACAAAGATTTACAGCCTTGGAAACCCTATGGAGTTCTACTCTGTCCTATAGGGTCGCTATGAATCAGAATAGTGGGTTTGGTTTTTGGTTTGGTTGTTAAAAAGAAAATTGGGAAGGTGCTTATTAGAGTTAGAGATTTTATTTATTCGTTTATTTAATTTTTTTTTGTTTTCTGGTTTGGTTTTCTGCTCTGTGTTCCATTTTTCCCTTCTAAAGAAAGTCTTAAGTAGAAAGCAAAGAAAGAAGAGTTCAGCTGTTCTTGTTGAAGATAGGTAGCCAAGAGCTCTACTTGATTACCCCAGATTGTGTGCCTGAGGAATATCTTTGGTTCACACAGTGGTATTTGTTTTTGTTTTGATTTCCTTTATTCACATACACATATATATGTGTATATTTATCAATGGTTTGTGTACATTGAATGTGTTTATTTGTATGAGTCTCAGACTGTCAAACACCTTGTTCAAATAAGGAATCCAACACAGTAGTGGGTATTTTAAAAATTAATTTTACTTGATTAATCAATTTTAATTAATTTTTACTTTGAAAAATTCCAACCCACAGAAAAGTTGAAAGAATGGTACAGGCAATGCCTAGGTACCCTTTGCCTAGATTCACTGTTATAGCTGCACTCACTTCATCTCTCTCTCTTCAGGCGTGCACGAACACACACACACACACACACACACACACTGTTCCCTTTTGCCAAACCATTTGAGAGAAGATTGCAGATGTCATAACACTTTACACCTTTAATATTTAAACATGCATCTCCTATGAACAGAAACTTTTCTCCTACATGACCACACTATCATTACTGCCTGAAGAAATTTAATATCATTCAACACAAAGTCCATACTGAAATTTTTCCAATTATTTAAAAATATCCTTTTATAGCCTTGCTTAGTCAAACCATGGTCTATGGACTGACAGCATCAGCATTACCTGGGAGCTTGTTAGAATTGCAGAATATCAGGCTATGCCCCAGACTTACTAAACGGAGCTGAGAATAAGGTGAGGCAAGTGAGTTGCCTCTGGCACAAAATTTAAGGAGATACTTAGTCTTAGGGTCATACAAGTGAAGGGCTGGCACTTGCATAACTCTTGAGAGTGGTGCCTCCTAAATTTTGAGCCCTAGGTGCCTGCTCGCCTCTCCCTAGTCCTGGCCCTGCTGCTGAATCAGAATCTGTATTTCAGTGGTTGTGAAGAAGATTTGTATGCACATTGAAGCTTTGGAAACACTAGCTTGTAGCTTTTTCTTTTTTCTTTCCCGTCTAGGATTCAGTTGTAATTCACATGTTGCATTTGGTGCTTAGACTCCCCCAATCTAGATCAAACTCATGCCTCCTTCTGTTCTGAGTGACAGTGGATCTTTTGAAAAGTCCAGGTTAACAAGAACACTACAAGGGTTATAATGTGTTTCTCCCACTGCTTCACATCAGGAGGCACATAATGTCAGAACCTCCCATTATTAGCAGTAGCAATCTTGACACCTAATTCAAGATGGTGATTGTCAGGTCACATCATTTTAAGGGCACATTTTTTCCCTTTGTAATTAATGAATAAAATGTGTGGTGATTCTTTGAGGTCATGTGAATGTCCTGTTCTTCAACAACCATACAACCAATGGAATCTTGCCTGAATCAGCAGTTACGTTGGTAATTCTCAGCTAGTGATATTCTGACAGTCATAGATTTTTTTCCTGAGCATGGAAGATGGTACAAGTACCAGTGCTCATTCTCTTGCTTAAAAAAGAAAACTTACAAGTATTTATACCTTTCATAAAACAAATGTTAACTTAAAAATTATTACCAAGTCAGCAAACTGTTAACAAAGACAGTCATTCAGAATCACAGGTTTTTTAGCGGTTAATGGTTATATTCATAGACTTTAGAGACAGTCGTCTAAATATGTGTGTCTTAAACAGGATTCCTTTTTTAGAAATAAGAGTTAGAAGGATAATTTTATTATGTAGAATAGCATTTGCAAGAGGAAACATTTTTCTGCTTATCTTGCTGACATTTTTTTCACAGTTTCAAGATTACTTACTAGAATGCTTTTAGCATTAAGGGAGGGAAAAAAAAAAAATCCACTCCTGAGAAGCTCAAAATGACAATAAGGAAAAGGAAGGAGGAAGGCAAGACTTTTATTAATAGATGGACTGTGGAGCATGTATGCAAATTGTGGCCTTGGAACTAACTTTTTGGGGGAAAAAAGTACTGAATTTGGGTTGCTTTTTGCTCATTTGTCCTTTAATATGAAGGTAGTAGAAAGCATTTTCAGCTGTATGAACACTTGAATCAAGTTACATTGTTGCCTTTCCAAAAATGTCTTCAGTGATTCAAAGCAAAAGCAGCCCTTTTCTAGGTTTTTTTTTTTTCCTAGCTGACCAAAATACTGTGATTTTCTCTGTGATTTCAGCATGTTTAGAATATTTATACTTTACCATCATTAACACAGTACACCAGTTTGTACTCACTTTACTGTGTTTCTTGTTGAAGCATATGAGTAGACTTAAATACTACTTACTATTTTAAGAAAGTGTTTTAGGGTGTTTGGCCTCCAGGTTCTTAACAACTTGTTCCAATCTGTCTTGCCAACTTTATTCCCAAATGTTCGTCTTCTGTGAATTCATATTCTTAACACCTTAAGCTTCTGCCAATTTCTCACCGTTCCCTTTCACAGTGCCTTGCCTCTGAACATACGCTTCTTCCTGGATGTCCTTCTTTACTTGTTCAATTGATTTCCTCTTTGGTTTCCTAATTTGCAATGAAAAATTAATTTTCTCAACAAATCTCTTCCATAATACCATTTTATATGCTTAGAAGGACTGTGTACTCACTATTTGAAGCATTGAGGTAACATTAGGAGATAAATCTGTATAATATTAAGCACTTAATAATCACTCATTAATATTAGTTGCTTTTCTTTTTTAAATTTTGTGCCTGCTTAGGTCAGACAACTAGATTCAGCGTTGGAAATTTGTAAAGAAGAGCTTGCCTTACATTTGAATCAATTGGAAGGAAATAAAGAAAAGTTTGAAAAACAGCTAAAGAAGAAATCAGAAGAGGTAAATGAACATTTCCTTTATAAATGGCTTATTTTCCAAGTAATTTCTTTTTCAGATACTGTTTATTTTCAGAATACTTGAAAAGTACATCTTTATGCATCTGATATATGAAATCTTTTCAGTAAAATGTGAATTCCAGTTTTTAATTCTTTAAGAAACAAAAAGTGCTTCAATGCAACATGAAATTATGACACTTTAAAGTTATGGTTCTTTTATTTATATTTAGGGAATCAGAAGAATAAATTATTAATACCCAAACCCATTGCCATCGAATCGATCCTGACTCATAGTGACCCAATAGGTTAGAGTAGAACTGCTCCCATAGGGTTTCCAAGGAGCAGATGGTGGATTCGAACTGCGACCTTTTGGTTAGCAGCCGAGCTCTTAACCACTGTGCCACAAGGGCTACAAATTATTAATATCACAGAGTAATTCTAATATTAAATGAATAAAACTTAGAATATTGTTTTAAATTTAGATGTTTAAAATTCTTTTAAAAAGTTTCCATTTTGTTTTTGTTTCTTCTAATTATCTGAGATGAGTTTCTTAGATACTAGATTTGAAGACTTCTTCTTGAGTAATTTTTATTCATCTCTGTATCCTCAATTTCTAGCATTTTCTTTCAATATAATAGGTACTCACTAGATGTTTGCTTGAAAGAATAATCTTAAGAATTCTTTTATTAGAATTTATTATGTTGTATGTATTTAAACCTTAAATTCATTTTTAGAAATAATCCCCAACAATTCTTAATTTAGGTTGACTTGAATGTGTCAGAAAGATCCAGCCGGAAAAACAGAAGCCCTTGTATCTTTCAAATGGAGGAAATTTTATACAGAGAATTAGAAACACACGTGATGGAACAGTAGAGAAAAAGCCAAACAGAATATGCTAAAGCGACTCAGATTAGCATAATCAGTGATCCATTACCATCCTTAGCTAGAGGGCCGTCAGGAAGAGATGGTGTGACTAGTGCAGAAGCAGGGCTGCCTAGCTGGAGCTTAGGCCACAGAGAAAGGGTCTGAAGGAACCTGGGCCCTAGAGGAGGAGAACTGCTGCTGCCTGTCCCTTCCATTGGTCAAACCTAACTGGAGTTCAGAGAGCAAAGGAGATTAAGAAATGTAGTTTCCTATAGTAAACAGAACAGAGCAGAGGAAGGCAGGGATAAACGTAAGAGCTATAATTTTTAACAACCCAAATCTAAGAATGTAGTTGACCAACACTTTACACTTAAGTGTATCACATGATTATGTAACCTTAGAGGTGGCAGAGACAGAATTTAGAGTCAGGCAGAGTTTGTAATAGGAGAGTTTGTTCGGCTTTGGACTTTGAGTTTTTAGAAACAACATCAGAAACTAGGTCGAATAACAGGCATTTACACACAAAACTTAGAACGATTCCCAAGCCAGCTAGAAATATAAACCTAGACTCAAATTAAATCAGAAGTGGTAATCAGGTGTGGATGACCAGACTAGGGAATAAGTTACCAGGTAAGTCATAAGGATTTGCAAGTCTGTTTATTGCTGCTGAATTGTTTGTTCAACTACACATGCATTGGCTTACATAGCCTACTAGAAGTCTTAAAGGATCATCTTTTACTTGTTCATCTATGCTGATAAAAAACATGGGGAGTAATCCAAGTACTATTTACTTTTGACTTACTTGTCCTAAGAGCAAATTATGTCTTACGGAGAAAACTCCTCCTAATGCTAGTTAATATAATTAATACCTTATAATAGCAGAGTTGGGAGGTTTTCATCATATATATATGAATAGTTTTTATCATATGTATATATATGTATATATAGAGTTAGGTTTTGGAAAATCTGATTTATTTCAAAGTGTGTCCATTCTGTTAATAATAAGGGATATTATAAAGATATTTTAATCTTTTAAATCAGTGAATATTCCCAGATCACACACTAGCTGAATAATTTAGGTAAGTGGCCCCAGAGCACATTGGTAGAAAGTTAGCCAGTTGTGAAAACCCATGTTGATTACCCAAAGCAAAAAGCTGATAAATATTCCTCTGAACTTTTGCCTCAGCCAGGCGAGTGTGTAGTCATTGGAACGAACTCCTATAGTCTGCCCTCTGTAGACTGAGTTAATATAATTCTCTAAGGATAAATGCCATAATTCCTTTCTTTTTTTACCAGTAATTTAATGTTCTTTTGTGGTAATAGTATTACTATTACACATAGTAGTAGCAATACTACAATTAGGGCTTCTTCCAGCTTTTCCAGTTGGTGAAATATTTTTGTGATTAACATAAGCCTGACTTTGGGATTCTAAATTTTTTGAAAATATTTTTATTCCATATTGAAATGCTTTGAAAAATGCTTTTAAAAGTGATAAAATTATGTGTTCATGCAAAATTACATTATCAGTATAATAGAAGAAAGTAAACACAATGTAAAAAAGATGAAAAAGTAAACACTTTTGCATAAAGAATGCATTCAATAGAATCAGTCATTTTGTTGCTAAATATCTTTATTCAAATTGATGGAGTTAAATTTTGAGAAGTTGGCATCATATCGATAATTTTTTTGTGGTATGTTTTATTTTTAAGCAACAATTCTGGGAGTGCTTTTGCTTTGGATACACATTACTAGGTAAAGTTAATTGTAAAGTAGATTTTATAATGTAAATTCTACTTAATGACTTTATACAATTATCTGGGGAAAATTTATTCCTTGAATACAATAATAAATTTAGTACAGAGAATATAATATAAAAATGATTTGTCCTATATTTAGTTTTAAAGTAAAGCCAACTAGAAATTAAAAAGATACTATGACAAAATGTCGGTATAAATTTGATAGATACAGGTTAATTTTTGTAAATTACTATTTGTGATACAATTAACATATTAGATACTCAAATATATGTAATTGAAATTATTTTGCCAGTAGCTAGATTACTGAAATAAGATTTCATTATTATGTAGTATGGCTTTCGTAGTGTTTTTCTTCAGTCCTATCTTCTTTCTTTGGTTTTGTCTGATTTTAATCTTTCTGTCCATTTTTCCTCTAACTAGACAATTAAGTGTGAGACAGGATGTTCCAGTAAAGAAAAAATAGTATTTAAGCCTATCTTTCAGACAAGTCAGTTTTATATAAAATGAACTACTGCAGAAATGTGATCTGTCAGGAACTAGCAGAGAAAACAAGTGATACTATACATATTTGCACTAAATTATTTTCATGCAGACAAATAAAACAGATTAGCGTAAAGCAGGAATACAGTAATAGAACTAGAAATTGGTTAGTTTCCTGTGAATACCTAGAGATACTCCAAGTTTATAATTTCATCATATAACGAAGAAGCGAGTAATCTAATAGCTTCTCATCTTGAGCAAAGAGTATTTGGCCCCTAAGCCCTTTGTAATGCTGCTGAATGTAGAATTGTTGAATAATTAGAAAGAAGAAGCAGGTCAGGATTCTCTTCCAGTATTTCTTTTAAAGAGTTTAGAATTCCTTTCTTCTGAACTGGTATTTATTGGAAAGTTGCTTTGCTTTAAAGTAATAGCTTTATTTTCTTTCATTAAAAAAAAAAAGTTATTACGTAAGCAACAATGAAAGAAAAAGTTTAAAGAAGATTCACCTACAACCCACTCCCTAATACTTCACTTTTTTTCATTTGCATACATATTTTCATAATTCATAAATGATAAAATTCTATTTTTTTATATAATATCGTTTTATAGAATTTTGTTTGCTAGTATGTTTTTAATTATGACTTTAAATGATTGTACCATTTTTAATCAGATTGATATATCATTATTTATTCAACCTTCCCCTTTTGGGAGAGGGTGAAGAATGTTCAAAAAATATATACCTTGTTTAGCATATTTTAAAGACAATTTCTGTTGGCAAGTTTTCAGGATTCACGTTACTAGGACAAAGAGCATACTCTTTCCTCTTCTTAATAGGTGTTACCAGATAACCTTAAAGGAATCTTTTAAAGCAGTTTTATGGATTATCATTCAGTTCCTAAATATTTGAGGTGAATGAGTGACATATTTTAGTTGTTATTATCATTGCTTTCTCTGTGTTTTGGAGTATGAGTATTCAGGAGTGCTTTACTGGGATTACAGACAATAGTAGCAACACTAATATAGTAAATAGCACCTAACGTTTATGCAGTGTTTTCATGGTTATAGTTTATTATAACTATCAATAAGGGGAAAAGACATCAAGAGGAGTCTGACGGAATCTATGGCTTTTTGTCTTCTCTCCCTGCTGGGAGGGGTCGTAGAGAATGTTCTCCTTTTTCCAGCAACAAAATGCAGCAACGCATGTACAGTGTTTCTTCCCATGCAAGCTTGCTCAAGATTCAAAGGTCAAGGTTTTTACTGAGGGCTGGTCACATAGGCACAGTGACAGGTTATAACTATTAAAACTCCAGACTCAAAAGGGAAGCAGAATTCAGTGCCCCCGCTGAGCAGAACAGCCTTATTGCTTAGGAAAAATTTCCAAAACCATGTTCCCAGATGTCACTCAGGGACCAGCCCTGCAAGGCTGAACACTTCTTCCTGTCAAAAAATGAACCCCGCCTTCCCACATGACAAACTAGCCATAAGTACAACTGCCCAACATGACAAGTGGGGATACCAAATAAGGAAGAAAGCTTTGATATTTTATTGCTTTTTAATTTTAATATTTCATTGTAATGAGAACATTTCATGTAATGAGAAATGTATATATTTGTTAGGTATATTGTTTACAGAAGGAACTAAAGATAAAGAATCACAGTCTTCAAGAAACCACTGAGCAAAATGTTATTCTCCAGCATACTCTTCAGCAGCAACAGCAAATGTTACAACAGGAGACGATTAGAAATGGAGAGCTAGAAGATGTTCAAACTAAACTTGAAAAACAGGTATACATTAGTGGCCAAAATGGTTTTATTTGTATGAAGCAGAAATTTTTTCTAATTGTTCATAGATTTTTTTGGTTAGCTATATAAATGGCTGTTTAACATCAAAGGTATCATATTATAAAACGTATTCTATATTTACATTGTAAAATAAAGTTCTATTCCTGTGTAATCCAGCTTGCATCTCTAATACTGTGGCCACATTTTCATCATTCCATACAATTTAGGTATAATTTAAACTTCTTTATTCAAACTTTCTTCTTGGACCCAAGTGCAATACCTACGTGAACCATATCTTCCATCTCCTTTTTGGATCAGAACATGGTATGATTATACCTAAAGAAGTGCCAAACAATGCATTAAGAGAAAAATCCCAAAGGAAAATGCTCCTCCTACTTATTTCTAAAAATCAATTAATATTCCAATGAATTTTATACTAGTCTTTTCTCTTTCATTCATCTGAATTCTTTAAACAAATATTTCACATTTTTAAATTTGTTTTTCTCTTTTCACAAGAAATCAAACTTTCCAGAAATGTATAAATTGTAAAATGTTAGTCTCCTTTTTGTTATTTGTATGGCTTTTTATCTACTCATTCTTAATTCATTCCAGCCTCTCAAATGGAACTAAAGAATCTCTTCTTAATACATTGTCCAAACACATCAGACAGGTATTCTGTGTGTGTGTGTGTTTTTTCTAAGAGCCATCCCTTCTGTGGCTGTCCGTCCCTTCTGTTAAAGTATAGACCTTTTGCTTACTATGCCTGCTATATGGCTTCATTATGAAACATTTCTTCATCTCATCTGTTTGAGTCCCATCTCCTAAATTCCTTAACATTGACTCTGATTTTTGCAGGATTGATTGATTCTTGTCCCATCTAAAGTGGTTTTTATTTCTATAATGATTTTTATGGTTTTTCTCAATTGTTTTTTTCCTTAACTCTGTTAGCTCATTTGTATTTTGTGTTTGGTGTTTTTATTTCTTCACGATCCTTGTTTTAAAAAACTTGGTCTTCTTTAACTTCTTTGAGAGTCCGAAGAAGTTCTCATCTAAAAATTTCTTCAATATTTAGGTGTTCCACTATTCATGGGTTCTATATTGGATCCTGTTAGATTACTACTCATCTTTAGATTCTTTCTTACGGGTGTACTGTTTAATCAAGAATAGGGTGAGTAGATTTTCCTTGATTCTCTTCCCTTTTTACCTGGGTACTGTTTTAATTTTATTCTTGGAACTTGAGTTGGAGGTAGTGGATATTAATGGTTTATAAGCTGTACTTAGAGCTTGAGTGAGAAATTTTAGGAAAAAGGCAGGGAGGGTATTAGTCAGGAGCCAAAGATAAACTTTGAAGTCACAGCTATATAAATGTTCATTGAAAACATGGAATGACTGAGATTACCTAGGCGGAGAGTATAGTATAAGAAAATCAAAGATTGATTTGGATAGATCCCTGAGGAATGTGATTTATGAAAGCCAAAGTTAGTATTTCAAAAAGGAAGGAATGATACTTGGTGTCACAGGCTGCTGCAATCAATGTCACATTAAATGATGGTAGAGAAATGTCCACTGAAATTAGCAACATGTAGGTAGGTCGTTGGTCTTTGATCTTCGTCAGTAAGTGCTTCAGGTCTTCTTCACTTTCAGCAAGCAAGGCTGTGTCATTTGCATGTTGCAGATTGTTAATGAGCCTTCCTCCAATCCTGATGCTGCATTCTTCTTCTTATAGTCCAGTTTCTCAGATTATTTGCTCAGCATACAGATTGAATAAGTATGGTGCAAGGATACAACCCTGATGCACACCTTTCCTGACTTTAAACTACCCAGTATCCCATTGTTCTGTTTGAACAACTGCCTTTTCATCTATGTACAGGTTCCTCATGAGCACAATTAAGTGTTCTGGAATTCCCATTCTTTGCAGTGTTATCCATAATTTGTTGTGATCCACACAGTCGAATGCCTTTGCATAATCAATAAAACACAGGTAAACATCTTTCTGGTATTCTCTGCTTTCAGCCAGGATCCATCTGACATCAGTAATGATATCCCTGGTTCCACATCCTCTTCTGAATCCAGCTTCAATTTCTGGCAGTTCCCTGTTGATGTGCTGCTGCAGGCACTTTTGGATGATCTTCAGCAAAATTTTACTTGCGTGTGATATTAATGATGTTGTTCGATAATTTCCACGTTCTGTCAAATGACCTTTCTTTGGAATGGGCACAAATATGGATCTCTTCCAGTCGGTTGGCCAGGTAGCTGTCTTCCAAATTTCTTGGCATAGACACGTGAGCACTTCCAGCATTGCATCCATTTGTTGAAACATCTCAATTGATATTCCATCAATTCCTGGAGCCTTGTTTTTCACCAGTGCCTTCAGTGCAGCTTGGACTTCTTCCTTCAGTACCATCAGTTCTTGATCATATGCTATCTCCTGAAATGGTTGAACGTCGACCAGTTCTTTTTGGTGCAGTTATTCTGTGTATTCCTTCTGTCTTCTTTTGATGCTCCCTGCGTCGTTCAATATTTTGTCTATAGAATCCTTCAGTATTGCAACTCAAGGCTTGAAGTTTTTCTTCAGTTCCTTCAGCTTGAGAAATGCTGAGCATGTTTTTCCGTTTTGGTTTTCTAACTCTAGGTCTTTGCACATTTCATTATAATGCTTTGTCGAGCCACCCTTTGAAATCTTCTGTTCAGCTCTTTTACTTCATTTCTTCCATTTGCTTTAGCTACTGTATGTTCAAGAGCAAGTTTCAGAGTCTCTTCTGACATCCATCTTGATCTTTTCTTTCTTTCTTGTCTTTTTAATGACCTCTTGCTTTCTTCATGTATGATGTCCTTGATGTCATCCTACAGCTCGTCTGGTCTTTGGTCATTTGTGTTCAGTGCATCAAATCTGTTCTTGAGATGGTCTCCAAATTCAGGTGGATATATTCAAGGTCGTATTTTGGCTCTTGTGGACTTGTTTTAATTTTCTTCAGCTTCAACTTGAACTTGCGTATGAGCAATTGATGGCCTGTTCTGTAGTCAGCCCCTGGCCTCGTTCTGACTGATGATATTGAGCTTTTCCATTGTCTACAGGTGTTGTCGATTTGATTCCCGTGTTTTTCATCTGGTAAGGTCCATGTGTATAGTCACCGTTCATGTTATTGAAAAAATGTATTTCCAATGAATAGGTCGTTGGTCTTGCAGAATTCTGTCATGTGACCTCTGGTGTTGTTTCTATCACCAAGGCCATATTTTCCAGTTACTGATCCTTTTTCTTTGTTTCCAACTTTTGTATTCCAATCACCAGTGATTATCAATGCATCTTGATTGCATGTTTGATCAATTTCGGACTGCAGAAGTTGGTAAAAATCTTCAATTTCTTCCTCTTTGGCATTGGTGGTTTTACTTGGATCCACAATCAGTGCTCATGAAGCAACGTCAGGAAGTCAAAAGATGTATTGCATTGGACAAATCTGCTGCAAAAGACCTCTTTAAAGTGTTGAAAAACAAAGATGTCACTTTGAGGACTAAGGTACACCTGACCCAAGTCATGGTATTTTCAGTTGCCTCATATGCATATGAAAGCTTTACAATGAATAAGGAAGACAGAAGAAGAATTGATGCCTTTAAATTACAGTGTTGGCGAAGAATATTGAATATACCGTGGACTGCCAGAAGAACGAACAAATCTGTCTTGGAAGAAGTACAGCCAGAAGGCTCCTTAGAAGGGAGGATGGCAAGACTTTGTATTGCATACTTTGGATATGTTATCAGGAGGGACCAGTCCCTGGAGAAGGAAATCATGTTTGGTAAAGTAGATGGTCAGCGAAAAAAAGGAAGACCCTCAGTGAGAGATAGAGTGACACAGTGGCTGCAACAGCGGGCTTAAAAATATCAATGATTTTGAGGATGGTGGAGGACTGGACAGTGTTTTGGTCTGTTGTATACAGGGTCTGTATGAGTCGGAATCGACTCGATGGCACCTAACAACAACAGGTCATTAGTGATGCAATCGCAGTTTCTGTAGAATGACCAGATTGCTATAGTTTAAGGAATGAATGGAAAGTAAGGCAGTGATACAGTAAGCATTGAACTCTTTGAGAAGTTGAAGGGGAGGAGAGAAAGGGTTGTAGATGGAGGGAGTAGAGGTATGAAGAAAATTTTTTAAGATAGGAAGGTCTTAATCATGTTTAAATACTAATGTATAGAAACCTGAAGAAAGAGAAAGATTGAAGATCAGAAGAGAACAGTTTGTAGAATGAGGAGGAATCCCGAGGTGGCTCAAACGGTTAAGTGCTCGACTACTAACCAAAGGATTGGCTGTTCGAACCCACCCAGAGGTGGGCGCCTTGGAAGAAAGCCCTGATGATCTGCTTCTGAAAACCCTATGAGCGCAGTTCTGCTCTGCACACATGGGGTCACCATGAGTTGGAATCACCTTGACAGCAACTGGTTAGGTTAGTTAGGTTATAGTATGAGGTCCCTGAGAAGGTAGATAGGAATTGAATCCATTACAGCGATAAAGCTATTTGACTTATGTAGGAGGAAGAATACCTCCTTTATTGTAGTAGAACAGAAGAAAGAGTAGATACGAACAAATTCAGGTTGTGTTGGGAGCAAATGAAAGTTGTAAGATTTGAGTGAGATGGGAATCTGGAAATCCTTCCTTGAAAGGATCTTGACCAGTTTGTGAAGAAGGAAGGGAACATAGTTTGACAAGAGAAAACAGAACATTTCAAATAGGGACAGTAAAAGGGAAACATTTATGATTATTTTGTTCAATTTTGTAAGTCCTATTTTAATGTTAAGATGTAACCCATTCTCTAAATATGTATATTAATGAACTTTCTTTGTTGTTAAAATGTAAGTTTTGCTTTTATATTTCCAAAACATTACTTCATGATCTATACTTTGATTTTTGTATTCCATTTTGGAATTAAATGGTAGGCTGGGTTTATTTATAGAAATGCTTTTCTTCTAAAGAATGAACTGTGACTTAATTTGAAACACTTACTGAAACTGCTTTACACAAGGTATCAAAACTGGAACAAGAGCTTCAAAAGCAAAGGGAAACTTCAGCCGAAAAGTTAAGAAAAATGGAGGAGAAATGTGAAACAGCTACACATGAAGCAGATTTGAAAAGGCAAAAAATTATTGAGCTTACTGGTACTGCCAGGTAAAATGTGAACATGTTAAGTTTTTATTTACCTTCCTGTTTCAATATCAGTAGTATCAGAGTTTCAAAATCAGATAATATTCAGTGAAGCATTTGCTTCTGAATTAGTTTCTGCATAGTCTGTGTTCTATAGCATTTTGTTTGTACCTCTCTAAAATCCCTCATTATGACTTTTTTTGCAGTATAGCTGAATACCTTAACCCTCCTACTATACTGCAGCTTTCCTAAGGCAGAGATCATATCTGGTTTATTTTGAGGTTCTCCACAACAATTAGCACATCTCCCCAGGCTACCTCTCCTTCCTCACCAGTTAAGATAAGCCTGTGTGCACAGAGTAACAACTCATTTCTCCAGGTGTCCTCCACTCTGTCTACAGGATCAAAAGGGTGTCCCGTGTTTAAGACCAAAACCACAGTTCTTCAGACTTTCTTTTCTCCATTGATGTGTCTACCTACCAGCACTTAATAGCCTTTCCACTAGTGTCTATCTTGAGTTCACAAAGACTAATCACATTATAACTTTATCCTTATTTAAACCGGACAGCACAATTAGCCCTAGATTTCCAGGTCAGCTCTCATCTCTCACACTACTTCCCAAAAAGCTCTCTGTATATTCTCTTCTTCTTCTACTCCATTCCAACTTCTGAAAACTCTATCTTACTTCAGCCACTCCCATGGTTTACCCTAGATCCTGTCATTTCCAACGTCTACATTTTCTTGATAAACTGAATATTATGTATCCACTCATCACCTCATTCCCTCTAATACCCCAAGTCCAACAGTTCTTTGACCCCCAATTTAAAAAAACCAAACTTGTTGCTGTCGAGTCAATTCTGACTCATAGCGACCCTGTAGGACAGAGTAGAACTGCCCCATAGGGTTTCCAAGGAGTGGCTGATGGATTTGAACTGCTGACCTTTTGGTTAGCAGCTATAGTTCTCCATAGCTCTTAACCACTGTGCCACCAGGGCTTTACCCAGTAGGACCTCTAATTCATCAATTCTACCACTGTCTCAGTTCTTTTGATGCACTCTATCCTTCCTTTACATGACTTAACTTCTAGTTAGTCATTAAAATCACTGACTTTCATATACCTTTTAACTCCTTTAACCCTGTCTTACTTGGTAGTATGCAGCACTCAGTTAAATCCAGCTTAGGCTACTCTGTGCCTACACTTTTACAGAGGCTGGGGGAAAATACAATGACACTGATTAGTCTCACTTTAAGTTCGTGTCTTCAAACCTCAAGTATTAATGCTGCCTGGCAATCACTATAGTTCTCAATCTTGTAGAGGACTGTTTTACATCTTTGCCTCTTCTTTCAAACCTCTAACACCTCCTCCCCAGTCCTTACTCTCACTGATTATCTTGCTTTCTGCTTCACTGAGAGAATTGAAGCAATTGCTTCTTCCTTTTCTCCTTCTACCCTTTAGACTTCTAGACAAGAAACTCCTCTTCATTGTAGCTAATAGACACATTCAGTAGGAAAAGTAAGTCCTGCATATTAATAGGAAGCTTTTGAAGTAGATGATTAAACTTCATAAGAGAGATGTACCACAGTTCCAAGAAATCCTGTCTTCATACAACAGGGCTTTTCTCTATTTCCCCTTTTCCCACTGTCATTGCTTTCACTACTGGAGCAACAGTTTATAACACTCTTTTTTTCTCTCTCAGAAGGTATTAAAGTTAAAATGTATCTGTCTTCTGTGATCTATTTTAGAGTTAAAGTATCTTCAAAGATAGAAACAAAGAAACTAATTTATTGAGCACCTTCTGTGTGCCAGGCATTGTGCTATGTAGACACATCAGCTCATTTAATCTTCAAAACTGCCCTATGATGCAGGTTTTATTATCCTTGTTTTTACGATAGGGAGATTGAAACTCAGAGAAGTTAGGGTATGAAATGCAAAATGCAGTCACGCTCTAAGACCAGTTTTTTGCATGTGTGTGTGTTACACAACAGTTGAAAGTACTCCTCGTATACCGGTAAATGTCACTGCGTGTAACTGATCCAGACCCTTGATTTCTCAGTGCTAAGGCTCCTATAGCACTGGTTAGATTCTCAAAGTGCCTCAGTAGCCGCTTTTTATCTTTTTCACATTTGAAGAAGCTGCAGAGCCTCAGCTGCCATGTTTTAAAAGGTCAGCGTTACTTTTGTATAATTCTTTCTTTGGCCTTATTTGCAATCTCAGACTTGATTGCTCTCAATGACCCTGTGATAAGAAGGTGAAGTATTTCTTAAAAAACTGGTGTGTGTAAACCCTCTCTCTCATCATATTTTGATAGTTGTGGGAAAGTTTTTAGTATTGGATTATTTAAATAATAGTGAAAAATTTTTGATCTCTTAAATACTTACTATATTAAAATGGTGCCTCACTTACCCAGCATCAGTAAGGAATGAGTAATTGCTCGTCAGTGAAGAAATAAAAGTGGAATTTATCTCTGTCAGCTGCCAAAACTTCAAAATAAAACAAAAAACTATTTTTCATAGAAATTTTTATAAAATATATGCTTGGTATAAAAATATGCCAGCCTCCTCTTGGTGTCTCTAGGTTATCATTATACATATCGATTATTATACCACGCTAAATATAATGATACCTTAATGAAATGGCAGGTGTATAGAGTTCTTGTTTTTTTTTTTTTTTTACTAAATGTCTGTGGACCGCTATGCTTTTAGAGTTGTTGCATCTGTTTGTAATAAATTTTTCCCAGCTCGTTTGCTGACAGGCTATCAGCTCTTGCACTGTATGCCAACCTTTTTCAACTGTTCTTTTCTAATTATCTGTTTAAATCTACTGTAACATAAGAAATAGATCATCAAGCTAAAAATCATTTACCTGGGATTTTTTAACTGTAAAACAGTCACTAGTACTTGTGTAATGAAGTAGTTCTTAACTTTACTGGGCCGTGAACACATTTGAGGATCTGATAAAAAGCCATAGATTTTTTTTCTATACAAAGATGCATATATGCATACTTAAGTTTGTGTACAGTTTCGGGGGTTTTATGAATTTCCTCAGTTTCACCCATGGATATCAGATTAAGAACCCCTTGAACAAATCCATATTTGCTTAAGTTGCATTTAGAGAAGAAATACAGTGTGCTGTATAGCTGCTTCTACTTGCAAACTTAGTTTATAAAACTTCATAGGCCAAAGGAAAAAAAAAATCTATTCAGGAAAAAGGGCATCATCTCTATCCACAGTTGAGAATGATATTAGCAGTTGTTTAATTAGTGAGTATTACTTTGGAATGACCAACAAATGGACTTAAAGCTGCCTGTTGATTTGTTTATAGGTCAGAGGAGCTTCTGTGTTGGAATCAGCTCAATGTTTGACTGAAATTTAGTAAACCTGGCCTTATAACTATTAATAATTAGTTGTATTCTTCCAGACAATTCACCTAACCTTTCATTTTCTTCATCTGTAAAGCAAGGAAGTTGTACTATTCTGGAAATCTCTAGACCCTTTTAATGCTAAAAAAAAAAAACCACACTAAAAATAAGTCTCTGAGTAAAAGTGACTAACTTGGCTTACATATGGTGCCATAGTCTTTTTGATGAATATTTTGATTGCTTGGATTACTTGGAGTTATTTTTGACTTGTTTATTGTCTGTGTTGCAGATAACAGAAATTACAGAAAAATAAAGCACCTATCCATGGGTATTCTCAATATGTATAAAGCTTTATAAAAGTTAAATGTAGATGGATTGAAAAGAGTGCTAGCCTTATTAAATATTACCAGGTAGTACAGTTTTATCTAGTGGTATGTAAAAGGTGCAGAATTGCAGTCTTTAAGTTGAGTCATTTAAAAAATGTAATAGGTGATTTAAGATTCTTAGTGGAATTCTGGTAATTCTCCTTATATAACTTGTCAGCTTTGTTTAGTCAGTGAAAAGGCAGTTGGTGTTTAAGCTTCCAAATTATCATTTATTATGTGTTTCATTTTTTGTTTTTAAATAGGCAAGTAAAACTTGAGATGGATCAGTACAAAGAAGAGCTGTCTAGGATGGAAAAAGAAATAATGCACCTAAAACGAGATGGAGAAAATAAAGCAATGCGTATTTCTCAATTAGATATGATCTTAGAACAGACAAAGACAGAACTAGATAAGAAAACAAATGCTGGTAAGCAATGGGTTAGCTGAGCTTAACTGCCTGCTTATTTGTATTTTTAAAGTGAGAATTTGGGATGGTGGGGCTGGAAGGGACAATGAGTAGTCAGTCGGTCTTTTGCCAGGTGTTCTTAATTATATTATTTATAAAGTTTAAAATACTGAGATGTTTTATATATAGTTCTAAAATTACTCCTTCTTCTTGGCAGTGAAGGAGTTAGAGAAGTTACAGCACCACACTGAAACTGAGCTCACAGAAGCCTTGCAGAAGCGGGAAGCACTAGAGACTGAACTGCAGAATGCTCATGGAGAATTAAAAAGTACTCTCAGACAGCTGCAGGAATTGAGAGATGTACTGCAGAAGGCTCAGTTATCACTAGAGGAAAAATACACTACTATAAAAGATCTCACAGCTGAACTTAGGTGAGCTAAATACTAAGAAATTATATCACAATTACAGATATTTCACTTTTTTATTCTGACTCTTGGGGTGATAGAAAGCTAGAAAGAATCCAAATGAATAAAAGCTTCTCATATTCTGATCGTATGTTTAATTAAATTTGTTTTTGATTTCTAAATGTCATACTTACCAACTGTCTTTGGCCTGCTGTGGCTTACCATAATCAGCCCATTCCACACTCCATTTAATTCAGTTGCTGCTGTTGGCTGCTGGTACTTGCATCCTCCATCTTGGGACCATTTTACACTGGCCCTTTCCTGTGTCTCATAATGGTAAAAAATGATTGCGCAAGCACATAGCAGTGGCTTATAGCAAAACAGTATTAACAGTAGTAATATGGTTACTTGTATTAAGCCACTGTTTTGTGCCAGGACTGTGTCAGGGATTTCACATATGATCTCTTTCATTTTTTCACAACAAACCTGTCAGATAGTTTTTGTCAATTTATAGTTGAGAAAACTGAGGTTTTTTGTCTTATTTTTATGAGTTGGTTTGTTAACTTTCTTTGTGGCTGCCATGAATTTTACCCTTATCTTT